GTCGTTTTCCAAACCACTGATAGAAACTATATTAAAACACGTTTTGTTTAGACAAGAAAAATTGTGTTCCATGAACTTTTCCAAAACCACCATTTAAAACATTTAGATGTGTTTAGGACTTTAAATGTAGGTTGTCCTTTGTCAAACCACTTTCGTCGTCTAAATACAAGGGTGTTGTATAATTGAATGCTAATGATTAATGTAGGTAGATACGTATCTTTTAAGACTATGACCAAAGTCTGTTGATCCAGTAATTTCAGGGGCGCTTCAAAGCGTGAGTCAGTTATATTGTTGATAAAATGTTGTTAGTAATATATTATCATTTGTAACTTAAAAGATTCAGTCTACCACCTGTAAAGTAGAGGTTTTGATGCTACCGATCCGACACAATTCGCGTACCCAGTAGGACACCCGATCATCAATCGACGCGACGCGACGGGTCGACTCCCAGGAGCATACCTTTTTTCAGGAAAAATGAATTAGTGGACTAGCGTTCAAGATGATGACGACGAGAGAATGGGAAAAATCAAAATCAGGGTTATGAGACATCTAGTTTGGATTATGGTTGACAGATGGCAGTCAAACAGATGAAGATTAGACAACGTGTCTATTCTACCAAGGGTAAACAAGGGTGCATTTTGAACGTTTGGTTTTCCTTCTTTCTATTTAATTTGTTTATTCGATGTAGGTATATCACGTTCGTATTTATGAAATTTGCATTTGCCCTTTGGAAAAATATCTATTGAAAGTTTTTGGATACTTCAACGGACGTCTGATAGACGTTCTTAAAGAAGTCCAAATAATGTGTTTTATCAAACCATTTATTCCGTTTGTTTGAAGACGTTCACAAAAAGTCCGATTTCGACATTATTTTTCTATCAAAAAAAAAATACCAATTTATTATGAAATTTCACCTAGGAATACCTAAATAACATTACTTTAGTAGGCGCTCCAGAAACAAATATCATCAAGCTATTTTTTGAGGGGATATATCAGAGAATATTATAATAATTATAATCTGAGAACCCCCATAGCAATTGCGAGAAAATTCTGTTCGTAAAATCCGTATTATGTGCTTACGCCATATAATTTCGCAAACGTACCTATTTAAGCAAATATGCTTTGTATTGTGCATTGTGTAGTGTTTGGTAAATAAATACAGAAAACGAAAGCTGTTTGTACTGATGTATCTCTGAAAATGACTATTTCAAATTATGTCTTCTGTCCGAAGACCAATCTGCTAAATTTAATAGGTACCTACTTTTAAATACATTAATATGATAACCTTTACATATTGCTCAAATCAAAAATATCGGTGTATCATGATTAAATGACTTCCTATGCAATGGTTGGCATGCTTTTTATTTATTTTAGTTTAATTATGATATTGATCATTAAATTATTAGCCTTTATTTTTCAAAGATTACTATTTATAAAAAAAAATAAAGTAGGACATACTGTTTTTATACCAAGCTATTGCAGCATCGTCAGCGCGCATTGATATTTCGCCCGAAATCTCGATAAAAATAGAGTCATTCATATAGGTAGTATGAAAAAAAGAGTGGTCCTTAACTCCCTGAACTACTCCCACACAAGGGCGTAGATAGGTACTTTACATTTCTAGGGGGGGGGGGGGGGGGGGGGCTAGAGTCCGGAGGGAAATTTCAAGCTCATTTACTTTTCCAGAACTTGACCTTAGTAGGTACTACTATTTAAGTACATACTTTTTAAATTTATATAATGCTATATAGTTTTAATCAGTTTTTTTGACAATTGACATATGGCACATCACTAAAAATCTACCAACCCATAAATGGCTGAGTTTGTTCGGCTTTGCACTCCACGGAGCGGAACGGTATGAGCATGGATATCGTGACGTCATAGGCAGAGTGAGCTTTGAACAAGTACGTAAGCCGAACGCAGATCGAAGAAAAAAACAACAGAGGTTGTAAATGGCCAAATTCATGTTCTTCTGGGAATGTAGGTACTTAACTTAAACTGATTCAGTGTTAGTGTAAAACTGGGGCAGCACGGCTATTGCCAACAGAATACAGTACTAGATGATACAGTTTTCTAAAAATAAATTTATACCCATTCTAGCAGCTAGCTTTGCAACTTGCAAAGAACAAAGAACAAGAACTAAGAATTTTTATTTGATGATAATAATAATGTTTTTCTTAACCTGCCCCAATATTTTTCATGTAATAAAATATTAGTTTTTTTTTTGAATTTACCCAGAAAAATAGAGCTCTGGTGGGATAATTACCCCCTCTACCCCCCCCCCCCCCCCAATATCTACGCCCCTGCTCCCACACACCCTGAGCTCTATACTACTGCTCCAAAACCAACTGTTTCACCTCTTCTAGACAGATTTTATGGAAAGACAAAAATTAATTTATTTGCTTCTTAACAATTTTCTTTATTGTTTTAGATAACGTAGACAGTAGAACTACCTGAACTATTTTCATGAGAAGCTATCAAATATTCCATATCCTTCAAGGTCGACCTAAGCTTAGAAATACTTGTCGGGGCCATTCGTATAATCAATTGATGTCAGCAGTAATCTGAGTAAAACCCTTCCAACCAGAGGACGGTAAATTCAAATCAAAAGATATCAGCAAGTTAGACAACATTTTTGTGTCCCAAGTCAACGTTCAAATTACCTGCCCCACAAAACAATGCCTGTCAATCTACTTTATTGTGACAACATTATCTTAGCTTTATGGATAAAGTCACCAGCTCTTCCCATCAGAGAGAGCTACACACAACACGCAAAAAATACGATTTGTTAAACCTCCAGTAGACTCCTGCCCAAGCAGCGCTTTTACGTCCCAACAACGTCGTCATTGATGCCCTGACATTAAGGCGCGACGTCAAATAGACGACTATACAACTATTTTCACCAAAATGGAGAAGCATTACATGGTTGTAGCGACGTCGCAGGTCGCGAGGTTGTACTAATTTTTAACCTATACGTCAGCATACACAACCAGATTTGAATGTTTACTAAACGTCGTGAACCATGACTAACCTAAAAACAAATACCAAACCAAATAAAGGACGTTCCAGGTTTAATATATTGCACCAAATTCGCACTTTTGGTTTATTATTAGTGTTATTTCATTTCCCAACTCATCACATTAAAAACAAAATGAATAGGTACCTATAAGAATATTGGGGGGATATGCAGTAATAATGGCTCCTGGCCTTGTCAATAATAAAATACATGAAAGTAAATATTTAGCTCCTGTAGACACAAAAATTTCAAACGAAGTCAATTTTTCTGTCAAATATAATTATGATATGCACACAAAACAAACGGCTCCTGTTTTTTTAATATTTTCCAGAAAAAAATAATAAATGTCTAATTTACATAATTTCTTATATAGTTCCGATGGGTCAAAACATCTTTGATTGGACCTTGCAATATATAAAATGGTCGAGTTAATAATCTGCACCTTATCCTAACCTAATGCGCGTTTTCGTCATGAAAATGAACTTAATCTATATAAACATAGGACTATATGTAATGAAATAGTACAAACATAAAAACCTAGATTGACAATAGGTCCCATATGGTAACTAGTTCTTTAGGTGCTTTAACGCTCTCATTTATTAAAAAAATTTCAGAAAACTGATGTTGTTCAAAATCGTGAAATATTTCCGAGAATATTTAATATTTCCTTTTAACCTGACATTTATTGAATCTTTTTTGATTTCCTGATTGGAAATTACAGGGTTCACGTCCAGTTTCCCTTCTTGCTCCGTTTGGAATACATTTCTTCCTTTTCACTAAATCTAACAATCTTTTTCTCCTGTAATATGTGGATGAGTATTTGAAGCTCCTGTTTTGTCCCGTATCATATCAAAAATACAAAAGCAAATACTTATTCAAATGGTTCAAAACTTTTCATAATAACGTCACATCTATTGTTTGTGTATGTTTTTATTTGACTAATGACAGTTTATTAACGAACGACGCAAAAAGTATGAAATGCTACACGAAATTCTACCTGTGTCCAATTTTAACGTTAATCGGACGTTTTTCGAAGACCTCTATCTGACCTTATGATTGGTCGTGTCAGACGACGTTTTTAAAACGTTTCTGAAGTCACAGGATCTGAAGATAACGACGGATTCAATGCAACGTTGAATTTGGTACAATATTATGACGTCTATTTTACGATTTTTATCTTACCTTATAATTGGTCGTATCAGCCGACGTTTGAAAAACGTTTCAGAGGTCACAAGTATACAAGAGGACGACGGATTGACGTCATTAATTTAACGTTATAACTGGTTTTCATTTATTACGTCAAAATTGAGCTAGATAAAGGTCCGATTTCTTGACCACATATTAAGCACCACATATAAATCATTGACGGTCATTTATCTGTACTCTATCTGCACTTCTGGCGACCTTGTATTTGGGTAATACGTAGTCGCAGGGACATGTATGTGCTACTTGGGGGAAGCTCAAAGACTTGCTCTTCAATGACGCAGCATTGCCTATCACTATTTTCGATAGGTAACATACATATCTTATAATCAGTTGTTATTTAATAAGTAGTTAGGTACCTATAGCAGTATCTCCATGACTCCATGGTTTCGTCATCCAGAAATTACTATAGCAAGGAACGGCAAATGGTTTTTTTGGTTTTATCCTGGGTTCAGTTTATAGAATAAACCTGGCAAAAGATTCGAAAAAGAATGTGTACTATAGCTGAAAGTGGCAAGTGAAGAATCTCAAAATCTGCCTAAAATTATAGTAATTTGTAAGAAAGATTTTTTCAGGTTTTTATGTCCTATAATAGCTATTTACCTAACAAGTGCTAAAAATATTTTCCGCGAGTGGTAGGTACAATAGTTTTTCTACAGGCGTGCGGAAATAAGTATAACTACATATAATTTGTAGACTTTTTTTTGACAGCCGTGCGGGAAAACTAATTTTCCGCACGGAAAATTGATTTTTGTAGGAAAATATTTTTTTTTCTTTGCAGGTACTTTGACCTATATTGTCATCGGAATATCTCAAGAAAGTTTTCATGGCCTGATCAACAGAAAACACAAAAGTTGGACTGGCACTATTTGTGCCTTTTTTTGTATGAAAATGTATACTATTGTGCTTAATGCAGTGACCAATATGCATTGGAGAGGTAGGTTCCTAATTCAAATTACGGCCAATTATGGTAGTCAATCGCCCAGCGACTCAGTGACCCATTTTCGATGTTTTTTGTTTGCACCATTAATTTTCGTCCTCTGTGTTCTGACTACTAGGTCTAATCAGGACGGGCCCTATACGGTTTAACGTGGAGCTACCTTCCCCTGGAGCGCTTCCGAACCACGGCCATCAGTTACACAGGAACTTTAGGCGTGTACCCTTTTAGGGCACTTCCTCTTGTTCCTTTTGGTGCAACCTACCGACTGGGGAGTGTGTTCCTAGGTCCCCTTTCCCCCTTTTGGATTTTCCGCAGGAAATTTTTTGGCCACATTAAACCAGCTATAGCTAGAACAATATGTTGTCCAAAAGAATCCTTCTGGATTAATCGATTTTTAGACACTTCGTTCAACTAAAATCAAAAAAGTTGTTCTATTACTTTTTTTTTTTTTTTCATCTTATACCGATTGTTATATATGTAGATTCGTAGATAAGTGAGATTACTTTTCCAAACTTTAATAAATTCTATCCAAGACAAGATGATATGAGAATACATACTTCAGCGGTTATTGGCAATAAACACAAAAAGAATCGAATATAATTTCATGTTAAGATGCTGGTGGTGAATCTTCTCTTAACTTTATTGGCACTAGATAGTTTAAGCTTATTTGAATTAAGCAATGGTTACATTGCTTGGAACGAAGCCCAAGAACTTGCTATTTGTACTTGGCCTACAAGGTATCCAAACCTCACTGCACATGATTTCATCTTATGGGGAAAAGTAAATATTTTTATTTTGAACCATATGTAATTTTCACATTCCTTACTGGTTTGAAGGTTCAGAAATGTCACTTTACTTTTGTTTACTTTAAAGCAGGCCGAAAGACACTTTCGGCCTGGAGAACTCACTTCCGGCCCTGATAAATTGTTCTTTCACACCTAAACACAAATCCAGGTGCAATGTTTGTATTTAGAAGTAGATGTCACATGTGTTTATATTGTTAAAATTCCATAAAATGTCAATGTCGGTGTCAGACTGTCAGTCGAAATTTCATTTTTGTCATATTTTTACCATATTTTTTTCAATAACTAATGGTTCAAAATAAAATAGTATACATAGTTCGGTGGAAAGTTTTCACATTATTGTCTCGAGAATTGGTTGACCTCGGCGCTTCGCACCTCGGTCAACTATAGTATCTCTCGACAATAATGAAACACTTTCCACCTCCGCATGTAATATACTATTTCCTTGCTACCCAATAACCAGATAACATCGATCCAATAAAATAATGGTGACTTGGTTAATTGTGGTACGGTCTGCACAAAATAATGATCAAAATCGGCTTGATGTTTCCCGTGCTGCACATGATGGTATCTGCGTTGAATACTACCTTATAAAACTTTAGTACGAGTGCAATAATATTTCTCACCTGGTTGAAATTCCAATAGGATATTCCATTATTTTTCTTTAGTCAAATTGAAATATTGAAACTTGGATAGTTGCTGTCGATCGACTAAGCATATAGGCGTTCAATTTTTTTTTCAACAAAATGTTAAACAAAATAATTTATTTTTGAGGTGGTTGGACAATAGTCGAAGAGTACTTCGGAATTCATGAGTCGGAAACACAAGGATACGTGGTGAACAATGGAAGAGGAGCTTTTTGCTTCTTCACTATTTGCTTCCTTCTCATGTTTTCCATGAGATGTTTGCGAAATCTGAACTCTCCACCATTTGAAATTTGTCTTGATTATGGTGACGACATGTTTTTGTTTCCGAATATGTTTAAAGTTAAAGTAAGTAAGAATTTTATTGGTTTCTAGTGTCGGTATTTATTAATATTTATGCATTCGTGCGTGTAATAATAACTAATGTCGCAGACTAGAACTAAACTCGCAAATGTCCACCAAAAGTGGTTCATTTATGAAGGAAAAGGCGCTTGTTACAGTAGATATTTTTTCAATCATTTATCAAACCAATAATCAGATAGGTGATAATATCAACTAATTTGTTTCAAGGGACTAATTATTATTATTATTATTATTATTATTATGACCCATTATTACATATAATAACCTGAGAGGGAAATCACCTGAGTGGGAAGTTTTTCGTGCCCCACCGTGTATTGTATATCAATACAAAATTGATTTTTTATAAACATTCAAAAACAAAGCCTATGCGGAGGGTTACTTTATATGAAATCTTCACCTGGTGAAGTCTGAATATTATTTCCTACGTGTTAATGAAAGAATGTTAATTTCTGTTTGTTTTAGGTATCAGAGAAAATATCCTTATACATATTCGACGTGGTTTTCTCAATAGCAGTAGTTGGCAATCTTGGAATGACAGTTTGGCAAGGAATATGGCTCCTAATAGACTTATATTTTTTCCCAAGCAATGAAGTGTTTTCAGCATGGGGAGGATTGGTGAGTATTCTCAAGTTTCTACGTATTAGATAGAAAAATTATAAATTCCACAAATATGCCATTATTGGTCACCGATAATTTTTCTGCTCTTCCAACATATTAGTTCAAATCATACGGCTATAGGGAAAAAAAGCAGTATTTTTTACTAGCTTCACTTTCATGTGGAATGGTCATGAATACTTTCCGATTAAACACAGATAACATAATCAGATTTTATTTTCTCCAGTTTTTACAAACACAATATAGGTACTCAACAAATTGTATTTCGCCTTAGTTTCTAGGATACGTGATAATCGCGATAGTCTTTCTTCTACAACCCTTTATGAAAAAATGTTGCGACAACCTAAATGGAATACCAAGACTTTTGGTAGCCGATTCGTACATGATGTTTTCAGTATTGGGAGTCATATTGGTGTGGAGAGGCATTTGGAATCTCCTTAATATTTATTTTATAACAGGTAAGATTTTTTAGCATTTTTAAGATTTGCTCTTAGAAACATAGAGAAACTCAGATGAGGTCACATCCAGAAGTATCACACTTAGTTTATTTTGATCAATGTCTCTCTCGAGCAAATAGGTAGATTAATAGTTGTGGTTTCTGATAGTGTTTCCAAATGGTGAAACTTACTGGGAACATTAATTTTACATAAATGGAATAACTCTTTCCAAGATAGCATACGTTGTTCAATGGATGTCCTAGATTAGTTCTATTGGCCATGGATCATTTATAAATATCCTATGACTACTGCTCAAGTCGCTGATCTAGGAAATAAATTCGTCCGATGGACCCGTTTCCTATCCAAACGAAATCTTAGAACTTCTAATTGGTTCTCCTTTTTAGTAAAGCCGTTGGACCAACAATTTATGAGATCCATCCATGTCCAGCGTTTTAACAAAAATAGAGGATTTTTTTTTGTTGAAATAAATGGACTTTTGAGGAGTCTTCCAAAATCCTGACATAATGGCTCTCAAGAAAGCGGAACCACAGGACACACATAACCCAGTTATGACCATTATAATAGGAACACTTCCAAGCCCAATTAATAAAAATGTAACCATTGGTTTCTCTTATAAATTCGAAGTAATTGTTTGAAAGCCAATGTCAATACCTGAAGTAATTGCCTTTGATTCCAGCAATTGCTGTTGGAATTTTTTCTACACAAAGCTCTTTCTTGAAAAAATAGCAGCATTTGCTTGAAATATGATGAATGAATCAAGGAATTGCTTTTTCTAGTGTAGCAATTGCGTTCAACATTTTGAGGTAGGTCGACCTCTGTATCATTTGCTTGGTAACAGTCAACTTTGGTTATCGGGCATAAACACGTGAGTTGCTCTGTGTCTTTCTATGGCTGAATATATGAATGTGCGTAAAAGAAAAACATACAGTGTACTGCAAAATTGCAGAAATGATGATTTCAGAAAGTTATATCGATATGATCGCGAAAATTTTGACTGGTTGGCAATTTTTTTTTTACTGATAGTGGTGGAAGGCGAGGGGCTGCACTAATCACCTATAAATAAGAGGAAAGTCTTGCTGCGGCAATGAGAAGTTTCACCATATTTGAATTTTATTGCTTTATCATTTCTAATCAGTTGTGTGAACCAAAAAAAAAATACCCTTGCTTCCAGTTGGCTTTAAAATCCCATCCTCCTATCTTTTTAATAAATAATTTTTAAAAATGCTGTTGTCATACCACATATTTGAACGTGCTGGATAATGGCGCCAGTGTATGACGTAGATGCCTATTCGACCAATAAAAATCGTTCACAATGGCTCCGACTCACATTTCTTTTATCATTTTGGTCAATATCATAGCAAAATCTCTAAATATTAAGGCAATACCAATGCACTCCGCTATCGGGAAGATATCCTGCAACCATTTTTCGGAGAGTTGCATAATGATGAACTTTAACGAGGCTACTTACAGAAACATGGAGCAACATCTCATTACACACAAGAGACTTCAGATCTGCTTTTTGAGCAGTTCATCGGCTCAAAAATTCAATATTTTCCACTCCTGTACTCTTTGGAAGGTTCCTATCCTTAAATCAAACTCTTACTCGTTTATTCAATTCATTGCTAAATCTGAGTGTTCAAGATATGGGTTCTTGAACGAACTCGAACGTACCAGCTAAACAATAATTATTATGTCAAATTATTAACAAGAACATAATAGCGCTGATTGACGCTGCTGCCTCTATCGAGAAAAAATCGAACAAATTACCCCATACATAAAAAAATTTATGGTCCTAGGAACACTTCTGTGTCGAGTGCTGACGACAATAAAGTTCAAATTAGGGACCGCTTTAAGATAAAAAATATTATGTACCTACAAACAAATTATTAATTATTGTGATACTTTTGGATGTTTAGGTAATGAAGCTGAGGATTCCAAGATTTATTTTTTTTTTCTTTTTTATTTAGAAAATGAAGAATTGAGTTATTGGATCAGCCTCTGGGTGCCTATGCTGATTCTAATTATAATGGGCTGTTCCAACTCTGTATTAGTTAGAGGCGTTTGTTTGGACTGCGAAGAGCCCGACGGATCATGCGTACTCTTCCCGTGTAATTATTTGAAAACAATCTTCGACCAAGAAAAATCTGATACTTGGCATTCATTATGGACCGGAGTAGCCACAAACAAGCTAGAGATATCGGACATCAACAAATCTGCTAATACTAAATCCCTAAGCTATCATTCAGTACAAATTATTGAGAATAGTGACGACTTGAAGAATAATAATGTTGAGAGAATCGGAATTTCTTGACATTATGCAAGGAAATGTGACAAAACATTTCCTACACATATCGAGATTCTTTTTATAAAAGTATGTTCAAAAATTGGTATCGATGCCAAAATTTCATTCGAAATTTGCATTTTATGAGTGATATTTGATATGTCACATAGGTATTATTAAAATTATATTTTTACAAATAAGTATTTTTAAATTTTTAGGGTGTTGCGCGCAGATGTGATATTTTTATATTAAAATAAATTTTCCGACATCATAAAATTGAAACTTTGTGGTTGTTTTTGAGATGTATACATTTAAAATCAAAAATCTTTTTAATTTAAACACATATACTCCGGTCAATTTAAACATGCAAGGGTACAAAAATTCCCATAGAGCTGAAAACTGGTATGCATGTTCGGAACACAGTATGACGAAAAATTTAGAATGAAACACGGCCGATAACTGCAAATAATAGCCTTGGCATAACAAACAAAAAACAAAATAATCCAAATTTGTTGCAGCCGTATTTAGCACTACATCCCCTTTTACAATTGCAAAAAATTGTGTCGAGCAGTTTTTCCAGCGCAGATGAGAATAAAGTTTGGACTGGTTCCAATGTATTGTCGTCTGTCGATCAAAGTCTTTTGGATCTAGTTGATAACCAAGCAACACTTGAACTTGATAGTATACCCACATACTGCACATGTATTGTCACATCGCAGATTTCTGATTTTTCAGATATTCCAAAAATTCATCAGCTCTTTCAATAGGTACTTGCATTGATTATTGTCTTCGTGCCACGATCAACAGTAACAGTTTCACCCTCTTCCTTTTGACCTGATATGCTTTTTATTTGATTAGTTTTTTAGAAGTTGGATTCAGATCAATAAAACAGCGTTGGAGATGAAAAATATATATTTGTCGACGTTTCGACCTAAACTATAGGTCATCCTCAGAACACAAAAAATTATTTCTATTTATTTATACAGGTTTCATCATTGCCAATACTATTTTTCATTATCCAATTGTTTTAAATTAAACAGGATCACAATGGACCGTGGAATAGGCCTTGACCTTGAATGGAAAAAATTTCAGGTACAGGATCGATGGGAACTTTTTAACATTCGTTTATAATGGTGTGCCGAACATTCATACCAATTTTCAGCTCTATGGGAATTTTTGTAACTTCACTAATATTTTTAGTAGTATTTTGACCGGATTAATAGGCTGATTATGACAGCTTAAACATGGGATGTCATGGTTTCACAGATCATTCTTTGGGTGGCACCCAAAATGTTTAGTCAACAATTCTCCTGGATGTTTTCCATTTTCCTATGCTTTTTTGACTCGAAACAGATTATTTGCGGTGGTATTTCTGCAAAAAAAAAATATTATGGAATCACAGTTCATGCTTCGGAAACAAAAATTAACTTTTCTTTTAGTCAGAATTTCAAAATAAAAGTGTTATCAAACTGTAAGCAATTTTTTATTAATTTTGAATAGTCGCTTTCTTCAACTTCTATCAGTTCTATCCACAATCTACAAAAAAAAAATAGTTGTCTTCTCAAAAGCATTGATTTTGTTATGTGTAGGTACTAGGGCTGCGCTAGACCAAGACACTAGTTGGAAGAGTACTTTACTGAGACCGATAGGTGCCGAGACTCCAGGGCTGGGACTCTGTAACGGATAAAGATCGTTATCCCTATCGCTATGGCACGTGTTATGTTCGTCTATCTTTTCTAAATCAATAGAGAGGGGATGTCAATTTAGATAGAGAAAATATCTCTATTCGTTACAGAGTTCCAGCCCAGGATCCTTATTCTCGAAACAGAGAAGCAGCGTTCTCAGGAGAACGAAGGTTCTGTCTTCGTCGCTCATATTCATATTTCCACAACGCTGACAAAGACAGAACATTCGTTCTCATGAGAACGCTGTTCCCCGGCTTCGAGAATAAGGACCCAGGAGAGTGTTTCTGTCTCAAACCCCAGAAAATAGTAATAATCGAGTCCATTTCACTAATTTATTATTAAAAGACTACTAACAAGAAGTCGATGCTTATATTATATTTTCGATAAATTACTCATGTAGGTAGGTATTTTTAAATATGACAGTTATAGGTAAGAATTAAAGGGCGAAGGTGGTGAAGAAAATACTCTTGATGAAAAATGATTTATAGGGAAAGTAGACGTCAGTAAAATAGAATTTTCCGTTATAAGGTATTGTTCACATCCAGAGTATAATTTTTTTTTAAAGTAAACGTAGAATGGTTACAAAATTACTGATGAATGGGGTTGTTAAGAAACATGACGTCATTGAAATAGAGAAAATGCCTATGTTATCTATTTCAGTTGAAAAATTTTCGAGACCGCTGAGACCGAGACTATACGTGTGTCTATAAGATTTGCTTCTCTATAAAGGGATTTCGGCTCCTCTTTTACCTACAGCAGGTTGAATGGGAGAAATTTCCTGACGACCACAATTCGACTAAAATGGGGAATGAAATTTCGGTCGACTCGACGTCGGAATCCGACTTTGACTCCTTTAGCGGACCTAAACACTACGTAATTTGACGTTGGGAATGCTATACCATTTCCGACTTCGAAAGTCGGGAAGATCTAATTATTTATACCTAAACTATACTAAACTGCTGGACAATTGCTTCCGAGCAAAAGGAAAATTTTGCCTAAATTGCAAGCTCGATATTTTTGGAACCAAAATATCGACCTCTGGTTTCCATATACCAATTTTTTCACAAAAAGTCAATCTCTCAGCCCGTGAAAACCGGAGGTCGATATTTGGTCTGGTTCCAAAAATATTGAGCCTGAAATTTCCTTGCTCGAAGGCAATTGTCTAGCAGTTTATTTAAAAATTGGTCTAAAGATTTTACCGTATTTTCTACCAAAGGTATATTATTTTGGAAACATAACAACAAACACAAGATAAATTCAACTATTTTATTTCTTTGCAATATAATATCTAGGTTCTTGCATTTTTTTAGTGCATTTCAGAAATTCGTCTGGTCAAAATTCATAAACGCAGGTGACTTTATTGATAAAAATAACTAAAGTAGGACTAAAAACACAACCACCTCCCCAAAAATCAGTAAAATTTAAAAACATATCAACGGACAACGGCATTGTTAAGCTGGATTCATAGTGTCAGTATCAGTAACAGTAAAATATTAAAACACGGCCGACCGTAAAGTCATTTATTGTTCACTTACCAAACTTATCAGTGAAACTTAAGAAATGGTTATTTTTAAATCTGTTTCTTAAGTTTCTAGTTTTAAGTTAATGTTACCTACTGTTACTGATGTTACTGACACTGACACTATAAATCCAGCTTTAGAGTTTAATCAATTTTAGTAAATTTCCGACGTCGAACCAACGTTGGCAAAAAACTTAAGCCGCCTATTCAAATTTAGTCGAATGACAACGTCCGACCAACGTTTCCTACTACACAGTAAAAAAAATCATGCAAAATTTTACACGAAAAGTGGTCTATATAAGGCCACACCAATTTGTGTATATTTAACACCAAGGTTTTTGGTAAATTTGACGAGAATTTGCGTGAAGAATTTACACAAAACGGTGTTAAACATAATACACCATATCATGTAACTTTTACACTAAGTTATATTAAATATACACACAACGGTGTATGTATTTCCAAATATGCGTGTTGTATTTACACAAAACAGTGTTAAATAGAATACACCGAATAGTGTTACTGTACAGGATGGAACATCCTGTTTTTTGTATGATTTTTTTGTAAAGTCGCATTTTTTACGACTAGTCTGTTGAAAATATTTGATATTTCGATAGTCATTTTCATTTTATTTTATTTTATTTTATTTTCTGATGTTGCATCCTTAATTTTTTCAGCTTAACCTATTTAATTTAATGGGAGGTATAGGTAATCACCATTCCTCACAAACCTATTAAATTAAACTGGTAAAACTAAAATTATTGAGGATAAACATTAAAATAAAATAAAAATAGCTATCGGATCAAATATTTTCAACCAGACGTGAAAATGTGCGACTTTTCCAAAAATCATACAAAACACATTAAAAACTGTTCATTTATGCCGTAACTCTTTAGTTTTGGAGACTTTGGTTTTGGTTTCTAATGATTTTTATTGTAGACAACGACAAACGAACATCAACCATCCCATCAGCCCATTAGCACGCTTGGAACTGATCACTGTCACACAAAAGAAGGTAGAGGACGGAGGGCTTGACCCGACACACTATTGGGTGTATAAACGTTCGCTACCGTGTAAATTTAAACATTTTTGGTGTTCATTTAATGAGAATGGTGTAAAAAATTACACATTGTCATGAGAGTAACACGAAACCAGGATATAACTTTGATTCAACACTGTATTGTGTAAGATATCAGTTTACCAAAATACTGTTGGTTAAGTGGACGGCACTTTACGAACAATGGTGTATAGTTTTTACACACAACGTGTTTTACCACTTTGTCGTGTAATTATACACGGGATTTTTTTTTACTGTGTATACCAAATCTTACCTATCCATAATAAGTCATAAGGCGACGTGACTTTGTAGCGACGTCCAAAGATAACTTCCAATATTTTAGTCAATATTTAGTCACACTTCGTAAAGTTAGGTCTTAACTTTTTCTAAGGAGGCCATGGCCATGAATCATTTGCCAGAAAATAAAGATAATTAAGTGGTAAATCTAATTTAACTTAACAATTGCTGCTATGCAGAAACTTGAAAGTGAAAATTTTTCTTTACTGCTTCAACTAAGGTTATATAGGTACCTGTTATTTACAGTTTTGCAAAATGACGTCCATTCGCTTCAAGACATTTTTGACAATTATTATTAGTGACTCTTTTCCGTACCACCCTACCTAGCAAGTGTATTTCCGTTGATGTTCCTAATTGTGTCCAAAGTTCTTTGTCTCAGGATTTCTATGGTCGCGTAGAAATCCAAGGGAGAAAAGTCAGGGGATCTAAGAGGCCAAGATATTGGACCATTCAATGAAACAATTCTTTTGTCAAACTGCTCTAAAGAAGTTTCTGTGGTGAATGGTGTTGTGAACCCGATATCCATCCTATTGAAACCATCGGGTTCTTCTAAACTCATTTTCGGTTACAGTAGCTCATAAAGCTGGCATAAACTGTTAGGACGGTATAAGCTGTAGGTACCTCTATCCATTTAGGTTATAGTCAAACAAAAATTTTCATATAGGTAGGTAACTTGATTTCCTGAAATAATTGATGATTTATAATAGGTGCCCAATAAAAAAAGGTACAAGTTAGATTTCCCAAATATTACTGCCAAATTTGGTCTGTAGACGTCTCTCTGCTTTTTGTGAGGGTTTTCCACAGCCCAATGATGAGTGTTGTGCTTATGAGAAACTCCACAATGCCTAAATCTACTCTGATCGGACCACCAGACATAATTAAACAAAATCGGGATTTCCATTAACTTTTCTAGTATATCTACTATTACAAAAGCACATTTGTCTTGAAAAATCAGTTTCCTCAAGTCCTTATATGCATTATTGTGGGTTTGTATGGATGGTTCTTATTCTTTTGTTCTAACACTCTCTGTACAAATAGTTACCTTAAACCCGCAATGGATATTAGGTAGGTACCTACTTGAGAAAAATTGAATTTCAGCAAAGGGCCCATCCTTAACAAATACGACCTAAGCATAAAATATCCCTTAAGTGTTTCTCGAAAACAAAAATTGTTCACGATCTTTGCTTTTAATCTACAGCATCCACAAATGACATTTTACCCCCTGTTTGTTCTCTAATAAAGTAAAAATAATGGTTACCTAGGTACTGACTTAATAATGATAGCTGACTCATTTACCCATATTGCTTTTCTAAGCTCAAAAATTATCACAAATTAAAATTTCTTCAGCGTCTATGTAGGTATGGCGAAAAATTCATCCCGATTTTCTCTGCAAATTAAATAAGTAAACTTAAAGTTGACATTCAAATTAAATCTTGGCCTTGTATGTTGAATCCATCTCTGTATCGGCGGTCATCTTCTGACCAACCAAACTCGTTTTGGTGCATTTCTTCCTTCAAGTCTCTCGCGCAAAATGAAACAAAAATGCTAAAACGGCATTTAGGTCACAAAGTGTCTGTCTTATAGAATTATCATATTTTTTGGTTAAGCTCGTTAATAATGTTTTGTATGCTAAATAGGTAAGTAATTTAAAGTAACCAGATTCTTGAACCGAAAAGGTTTCTTTAACTTTTAGAAAACCTTGTCAAATGGAACAAAAACTGTGGAACTTACTATTGCTGACAACATTTATGCAAGGAATTCGGATAGTCAATAGCTTTCCGAATTTGGAAATTCAAAGAATAAAAAAGGATTCTAGCGTAAGTAGCTACATATTTATTAAGTATTATATTTGGATTAATCAATAAATTGTCTTAGATTATTGCAGAAACATTTATTTACCGGTTGGAAGTGGGCCTAAAAATAAATTATTATTTTTCACATAAGTAGGTATTTTAAAACTTACCATTTAAATTTTGCGCTAATTTGGAAGCAGCATCCAAAGCTTGTTCTCCGAGTTGCTGAGCTTGACCTGCAGCTTGTTGTCCCCATTGCTGGACTTGCCCGGAAAATTTTTGACCCAAGTTTTGAAGATCAGATGCAACTAAGGACGATATTTAAAGTATCTATTTAAGAAATTATTATAGCGAATGTTAAGAAACATTTAAATCTAAACAGTTGGATTCGATGTCATTTCAAGAATGTTAATGCTAAGTATTCAACCATATCGTTACCCAAAACTTTAATAAAATACTTTTCTAACCTTTGAATTCTTAGTAGATCGAATATCGCTAGAATGCATTTTTTTTCGTTAATTCTAAACGGTAAACATATTTCAGTCATTAGCCGCAAAATTCCTACTTGAATTAAAATTGCAGGTCAATATATTTAATCGTTTTTAGATGAACATAGGTACATAATATTCAACTAAGGGTCTCTTCTATAAGAAATTCTAAATTTTTTAAATTTTCTACGTCAATGTTTTGTTTCTAAATCAGAATCCTTTAAAGCAGATGATATTCAGGAATCTAAAAAATTGCTCTATGAAATTTTAAATCCAAACTAGTTCAAACTTCGAACGGAACGAATCCAAATTGCAGCTCAATTATTTCCTGATTTATAAATCCAATTTCTTTCCCTTTGTTTTTTGTGTCAATATTTGCAGCTTTAATATCTTCGACCATTTTTGCGACAGGTATTATTTTCTTGGCTCTATGGAAAATTGACTGTGTTTTAGTGAAACAGCTTTGTGATGGTGACAAGTTGTTTCACCTAAATAAATCTAGTGAATTCGTTTTCTAGTCATTTAGGAACAACCTGATCAATTTGGCAATTTGCCTCCACTAGTACTAGCAAAAATTCTCTAATATATGTAACCGTGTTAGGCGTGAAATATGGCAAAATGAAATGTTATATATATAAAATAAAATGTCATATACATACCATCTCCGTAAACATTCACGAGAAAAACCTTGAAAAAAATATTAGGGATATAATAATTTAATTAATATAGGTAGTCAGAAATACAATTTTCTTACCATAATCATGAACAGTGCTAATGCAACCGGTAACGAGTGCATTTTGACTGATTACGAATATCTAAATTTCATAACTACTTATTTATATACCTACTCATCAGATTCAATAATTTTTGGTGAAATTTACCTACTACATTTGGGTGCCATAAAATTTAAACACTTCCTTCCTAGTCCTAATAAGTGTTAATCACAGGAAACGTATTGAACAAAAAATTAACCAATTTTCAAATTCAACACAATAATTCCAGGAATAATTTGCGATGACAACATTAAAAACCTTTGTTAAAAATATTTCTTTACTTTAGGAAAGGATGCCCTTATTTGTTCCTGGTCGTTGTGCTGAAAACGAGCTGTTATACCCTGCTGAAGCTAATGATGAATGGATATGTGACTGTGGACCAGGTAATTATTGTACTTGCTGTAAAAATTGTATCTTTCTCTAAATATCGTTCCTGCATGAAATGGATAATTACTTATACTGAATTATTGAATACACTTCTGTTATGTCGCTTCACATTTATCTAGAATGAAATTCGTGGTATGTGATTCAGTATTCGCATTATACTTCAACCTTTTTTTTACGCGGCAAGCCAGTTCATGGATATCTTTATTATTTGACTTTACATAACTTGAGACAAGTGACTCTCAAAGCTCTAGGTGCTATCAAATGCACATCGCAGCTGGTTGCGGAGAACATCAACACTGCAGAACGTCATCTGCTTTGTGAGGGCTCTGCTCCGTTTTGCAAGGAGCTGGAATACCTTGAAGGGTCACGGCCAACGCCCCAATTAGTGAACCTTGGAGAAGCCTCAAATCTTGGACAGCAACTAAAAGCAGATCCATGCACACAATATCTGAAAAGGTACCAGTTCTCAGCAGCTATATCAATATAAAATCTATATAGCTATGGAGGCCCTGATGGCAGCTTAGTTGGTAGAGAGCTTTAGACTGGTATTCTAGAGGTCCTAGGTTCAAATCCTAGTCGAGTCCGATATTTTTCGTCAACTTTCAATATTAAGTAGGTATTCTGTCTGCTGTTCCATGAACTATTTCCTTAATAAATAGGTATACATTACAGACGTGGAAAAAAAATTAAAATACTTTGAATCGAGATAAATTAAAAAGCCCCCCATGCATCTTTTGAATTTCTGAAGTCAACTGTTAACCGAAAAAAAAGGATGAATTAACACTAAATAAATCTAGAAAAACCAACAAATCTGCTTTATTGAAGAAGTTTCCCCTTTTCCCCAGAAGCCCCAGCCAGCAACCTCTTTGTATTGGACAATTTCTGTTTGATATATGTAAACTAGGGCTGGGCGATTATCAAAATAAATAATCGATTATCAAAATAAATAATCGATTATCGATTATTAAAAATAATCGATTAATCGAAAATAATCGATTAATCGGAAATAATCGATTAATCGGAAATAATCGATTAATCGAAAATAATCGATTAATCGAAAATAATCGATTAATCGAAAATAATCGATTAATCGAAAATAATCGATTTATCGAAAATAATCGATTAATCGAAAATAATCGATTAATCGAAAATAATCGATTGATCGAAAATAATCGAAAGTAATCGGTTAATCGAAAATAATCGATTATTTTCGATTAATCGATAATTTTTTTCGATAAATCGTTTATTTTAGATCTATCGATTATTTTTGATTATTCGATTATTTTTGATTATTCGCTTATTTCACAATAATCGGTAGATTTTTTTCTTGGGTTTCATGAAGTAAAAGAAATTCACTTGCCCTTAACCGGCTTGTGTTGAAATAAACTCTCTGGTTACTTTGGAGTTTGAGGCCCGGTTTATTCATCTTCAGATAGACTTGCTGGTTGACAACTATTAGCAAGATCAATTTACCCTTCTATAATTATTGTCTCGGTTGACCAAGGGCCGACCAATAACTGGCCGACCAATGGGATTACAGATTGCGTTATTATCCGCGAAATTGCATACCTAACAGTTTATCAGAAGGTGAATAAACCGGGCCTTAGATATGCAAACAAAAACAAAACATAAAATTATCTCAAAAATAATAGATTAATCGTAAATAATTGATCAATCGAAAATAACCGAATAATCGAAAATAATCGATTAATCGAAAATAATCGAATAATCGAAAATAATCGATTAATCGAAAATAATCGAATAATCTAAAATAATCGATTATCGAAAATAATCGATTAATCGATTAATCGAAAATAATCGATTAATCGAAAATAATCGATTAATCGAAAATAATCGATTAATCGAAAATAATCGATTAATCGAAAATAATCGATTAATCGAAAATAATCGATTAATCGAAAATAATCGATTAATCGAAAATAATCGATTAATCGATTAATCGATTATCGATTATTTGAAAATAAAATAATCGACTAATCGATTAATCGATTAATCGATTATTAATCGATTAATCGATTATTTTGCCCACCCCTAATGTAAACTCATTTTTTTATGGATCCAGGAACATCAATAGGAACGACATTGAGTGAGCTGTTTTCTTGACTATTTGTGAAAGAAATATCTTCACTAATGAACTTGTGCCTGTTTCGCGAGTCATACATTCGTATAACATTGCTTTTATAGAAGTGGGCCATCCTTCTCCTCTTTACATACTAGTGGTATCTTTATTCATTGGGACTGGATGAGCTACAATTAGGAAACTTGCACATTCTTTATTGTATTTCAAAAATCTGCTAATACACTAAAATATAACGCATGCCAAATATGAAGCTTTAAAAATCTACCATTAATTTTGTATCTAATTTTAAAGTTTCACCTACCTATATATGAGAGAGACGGTGATGGCATCAAAGCGAGTTATGTTACTCTGCAACACTTTCGACGACGATTATTCAGGAGTCATATAGGCACGCACGCGTCGTAAACAACACCTGCTGTGTGACATCACGACACGTTTTCGTTATTTTACATTTTTAAAGATTTAAGTAGGTTACCTGGGATAAAATTTAAAAAAATTGTCTTCACTACACATTTAAATAGTTTATTAAAGTTTGCTGCTAATAATTCTCTATTTAATTTCCATTAGATCCGCATAAAAGTTTGTCGCATCCCAAAAAGCGGGCCTCTAATCTCAGCAAGCTACAGTGACGCAAGCGGTATATACGGAAGTAGGTTCCGATAGCCACGAGTTTTTTTCGGATTCGCTGGCTTTGCCAACAAGTTGCTAATGTGCAATTCTCTGGCCATCTTAAATAAAGTGTGAGAGACCATACTTACGTATGTTATTGCTGTTGGCTGCCCCTGATAAACTGAGCATAGACGGTGGACATTAGTCGCCATTTTGGATTGACATATTCGCCTGTTAACTCAGTACAGTGTTGTTGCATTGTCAAAACGTTTCTTGCGTCGGAACCTATGAGTTATGATCTATACTTTCTCCTATAGTCATATCATTATAAGTATCTCTCGCTAACGAGTATCTCAAGAATCTTCGCAGAATCATTTTGTCTGCTTTCTTTAGACGGCTAAATAAGTCTATTCTGGATCCACAATGTCTTCCGCGATGATTGCACATCCAATCAGCGTTAGCCGGTCACAGTAAACCATCATCTAAACACTACTTGCGATGTCACTATCACGACGCTTACCCGACTTACTACTCTCTGCGATTTTCAAATTCAAAGCTAAACTTATTCACTAAAATATGTCTATAATGTCTGCTTTATTTTGTAAAAAAATACCAATTGGTCAAGATGGTTTGCTACTGCCGCTCGATTCTGACTAAAGCAAGACAGTTCTAACAATAATATAATTTTTCTAGGATTTATCTACCATTCCGAGAAAGATACCTGTTTTGCAGCTCTCAGGCAAGGCCCCTGCAACATAGGACAACATCTAATTTTAAAATCATCCCAAAGCGTGCCAGAATGTGCCCAGAATCCATGTCAAGACGGATTCGCAAGGTAGAAAGTAATAATTTAAGAAATACTTGAAATATTAAAAGCCAATGGTTATTCTAGGTATGAAGATAAATGTTACGAATTGGGAACTCCAAATGGTCCATGTTTACCTATTCTTCAAGGTGGTGGCATTTTCGATGTTAACGTTTCAACATTGCGAGCAGAATGTTTGAAAGGAACAGATCCTTTGTCACTATTCAGTTTGCCCTCTAGATGTACACCTGGGAGTAGGAGGGATAGAAACGGGAATTGTAGAGTAATATATGATTAGAAATAAGAACAAAATATCAATAAATATTCATAATAAATACAAAAAAATTAATGAAATTTTTTATCAAATTGAAAAGTATTTCATTTAAATAGGTACTTATCACAAATCCACTACATCAGAAGAATTTTTCAAATAGAGAAAATTTATATCACAAATCAGGGCCTGGGTTAGCCCTTAGCCTACTAGGCAGCGTAGTGCTACTCGTTTGGAAGTCGTTAAAATTACCCAGAAACCCTAAAATTAGGGTAAGTATACCGGATGTCCCACCGAAAACTGTCAATGGCCTATATCTTCAAACGATAATCGATAAAAAAAAAAAAAAACAGTTAGGAGGGTTGGCAGGGGTAACCAGAACAAGGTACTTTTCAGCTCTCCCCGAACCACTCCTCCGGCGGTAGCCACTCTTAGGTACCTCAAAATCTTAAATGGCATACTTTAGATCATGTGATACCTTATTTGAAAAATCTTTAAATTCTCGAACGAATCAGAGCTGAAAAGTACCTTGTTTTCGTTCCCCCTTCAACCCTCGAAACGTGTTTTTGTTTTTTTTACCGATTATAGTTTTTAAGATATTGTCATTACAGTTTTCGGTAGGACACCCGGTATATTCATTAGGTATACATGTCCAGTTATAAGCTCAAAAAATGGAAACAGCAAAAACACATAGTGAATCTAATGGTGAGTTTATACAGGAAATAACATACCATAATAAATAATATTTCAGGTGTTGACTTGTTGTTAATTTTGGAATGTTTTGTTGTGATTCATATGCTAGAATATACTTCTGACCCATTCTTCAAACAGTTTTGTTATTATTTCACTGTTAAGTAGGTAGGTACAGGGTATTTGATTATTTTAAAACCCATACCTACATCCTCTACTAATTCAAGATAGAAAAAAAATTTAAATATAAAACTTGAGAGCTTTTTTCCATATTTTCTTTTAACGGTGTCAGAAGAAACAAAATCGCATCGGAAAATGGAAAAACGTAGACAACTTCAACTTTTTTTAACGAAACACGCTGTATATTATGCGATAAAATGAAAGATCTATTTCTTCCTGATTCCAAATATATACAGGGTGGTCCATTTAAGTTGAGACAGTCTAATATCTCGAAAACGGTGCGTTCTTGAAAAAAAAAGTTCAAACAAAAGTTACATGGTATCATGGGGGAAACAAAATGGCGGCTTTGATTTTTGACTTTGACAACGTTTTCAAGGTTATTTCAAGGTCAATTCTTTTTTTTTCAATGGAAACGTATTTTTTTATTGGAGAATCTTATTCTACGGAAAAAAAAGTAACTTTTACTTGAAGCGTTTCTCGATCCGGTTTCAATTTAAGCTGATAAAAAAGAAGGAATCAATTTTTCTCCTCACAAAATCAAAAAGTAGAGAAAGGTAACCATATTAAAAAAATACCTCAAAAACTATAACAATTGTTCAAAATGATGACCGACAACTTCAACACACAAGTCAATTCACTTTAAAAATCAAACCGACGGTTTATCAAGAGGTTCTTACAACACCGGAAAATATGATGGAACGCATAAGAAATGTTTAGAGCTGTCAGTAAAGAAGCTCTAATTTGGTGCCATGAAAGCTTTTTATAGCGAATTAACAAGTGTGTTGACACACTTTGAATAATTGTTAAAGTTTTTGTGGTAGTTTTTCACTACGGTAACCTTTCTCTACTTTTAGATTTTGTGAGGAGGAAAATAAAAAAAATTGATTCGTTCTTTTTTATCAGCTTAAATTGAAACCGGATCGAAAAATGCTTCAAGTAAAAGTTACTTGTTTTTTTTCGTAGAATAAGATTCTGGAATTAAAAAAAATACGTTTCTATTGAAAAAAAAAAAAAAAGTTGACCTTGAAATAACCTTAAAAACGTTATCAATGTCAAAAATAAGTGCCGCCATTTTGTTTCCCCCATGATACTATGTAACTTTTGTCTGAACTTTTTTTTTCAAAAACGCACTGTTTTCGAGATATCAGACTGTCTCAAGTTAAATGGACCACCCTGTATATATACAGTGCCCCTGAGTGCCCGCGGAAAAGTCTGCACCATATGGGAATTTTTTTTATGCTCATCCTTACTTCAAATCGGTTTTTGGCATTAGGTTCTGCATGACTGAAAACCAAAAAAACACCTAAAATTTTTGACTCGAGACTTGCTTCACACCTGTCAAATGCCATTTGAAAATTTCAAACAAGGAAAAGTGGCATTTTTATGAAAAATATGAAAAAATTGTATTAGAAAATATTGTTCCAAATGACATTTAGGGTCTAATATGATATTTTTGCTATGAAAAAAAAAATATTTTTTTTTTTTAAATTTTTTTTCGAATATTTACGGAAAAATAATATTTTTAGGATTTCTTTCGCGACAATTCCTCTAAAATAATTAGTTTGTATCTGACTAATGGTTTTTCAAATCCTAATAATCTAATTACCAGTTTAAACATCAAAAAGAAATATTTCTATTAAAATCTTGATACGCCTCTGGACTATTTTAAAAATTGTAAGCTTTGAAATATATTTTTTTCAAAGCAAAAATATCAAATTAGACTCTAAATATCATTTGGAACAATATTTTCTTGTAAAATTTTTTCATATTTTTTTTATAAAAAAGCCACTTTTCCTTGTTTGGAATTTTCAAATGGCATTTGACAGGTGTGAGGCCAGTCTCGAGTCAAAAATTTTAGGTGTTTTTTTGGTTTTCAGTCATGCAGAACCTAATGCCAAAAACCGATTTAAAGTAAGGATGAGCATAAAAAAATTTCCCATATGGTGCAGACTTTTCTGCGGACCCTGTATACCTATACAGGGTGTTTGGTACATCGATAGGAATATTTCAATGAAAAAAAATTAAAAAACAAATATCTGTAATTAGCTAGATGAAACTACAGTGACTCAATCAACCCTTTCTACCTACAGTGGCGACAATAGAGGTCTCGCCGCCATATTCTTGCTCATGTTCAATACGAATCTAAACGTAAGCCCCGCCCTCGTCCCCTCGTCGCCATATTCTTGCTCATTTCCAATATGAATATATTAAAATTTCAACACCCTGTAGATCGGTAACGAAGCGTTTGCGGCCCTATGTTTATAAGAAATTTAAGTCATAAAATAAACCAAGGAATCACCCCCTTCCGTTTGTACATGATATTTAGGAACACCCTGTATATATATTTGGAATCAAGAAGATACGATCATTCATTTTTTCGCATGTTATAAGGGTATTAAAAAAAAGTTGAAGTTTACGTTTTTTCATTTTCCGATGCGATTTTGTTTTTACTGATAGTGTTGAAAGAAAATATAAAGAAAAAACTGTCAAGTTTTTTATTAAATTTTTTTTTTCTATCTTAAATAGTAAAGGCTGTAGGTATGGGCTTAAACATAATCAAATACCCTGTACACACCGTGTTTGCACTATTCTGCAATCGGATTTCACTTTGCAGTCCTCGAATTATATCTCACTTCTGACACCAATGTCATGGATCTGGGGTGCGTGACAGAAATCTTGGGTACGTTTATTCCAAGATCAAAGTCCAATTAACGCAGCACGCGAAGTTAACCAACTTTCCTTTTACGATAAGAGGGGTTGCTATCCATTCCACCATTATGTATCTGTATTAGTGGCTTTAGACCCAACCGAGGTATAGCTGACAAGATTTTCGGTGCAAGACAAATGCAAGAGAAATCCAGGGAACAAAATCGCCCTGTAAACATGACCTTCATAGATTTAATGAATGCATTTGATTCCTTCAACAGAGCTTTTTGGAAGATATTGGCAAAGGTTAGGTGTCCACAAAAGTACATCCAGATACTCCGCCTGCTGCATATTAATAATAGTCCAGTAAAATCGTATACAGATAGCATTTGAAGTGGAACGTTTGGTGTAATTGTTTTTAGTGACTTATTTTATGTTTTTTGAGGTGCTAAAAACGAATCTGACTATGTCGAACAAAAATTTTATCAGCAAATATGAGAAGAAATCATCAAGAAATCACTGAAAATAATGTTTTTTAGTGATTTTCAGCTTATAACTGGCTCTGTATTAAAATAAAGAGGAGCCAATTATCGTCTACATAAATTACCATCTATTAATTTTTTTCTGTACGTCGTATAACATCCACGCAAAGAGTTGACATATGATATTTAACTTGTTTGATATTTCACGCCAACAATCATTCGTGGAGAGACCAGCGGTTATCATCTGCACGTTATAATAGTAGCATCTAGAAATGCAGCCATTTTCATGACTGAACACTACTGAACAGATAAAACTCCTTCACAATGTGTACACAATGTAACGATGGAGCCAAGTAGATCACGAATAATTCAAAGCGTGAATCACGTTCGTTACGTTACGACCATTGTAAACTCCCCAGAGTTTTGCCACTTGCTACGATGAAAAATCCAATAAAAATAAGTGATGAAACCATCCCCAACAATCCCAAGACAATTTTTCAAAGAATTAGGTATAATTGCTAAGCAATCTGGTGAAGAACTTGAAGAGTTCTTCAAATACAAACTGTGCCCTTACCCGTTGCCTCTTTTTGACGACTATGGTATGAGAAAAGGAAAGTCTTCTTTATCCAGCATCGCTAATAGCTTCGTACACCCAGTGTTAAAGTGCTCTCAAAAAATTGTCCATTTACCAAATACAAGTAAGTCAAATTTACTAAATTTTGGTGTGTGCAGAGTTTTTACCACACTCACGGAACACAAGAAGTTACAAACAAAACCATTAATTAATTACGTGAAAATTACGCAAAATAGTAACCAAATGCACCACTCCAAAAACCATAAGGTCGATTTTCGCTTGCTACGACTATTCAGTAGACAAGAAAAGCTTCCACCGACGGTCAAAATTATGGATGGATTAGCAAACGAAACAAAATTACTATATGATTTACTTCTAGAAGCATTGAAGAAACAAACTGTAGAACTTAAAAAAGAATACCAAGAATCAAACACAGCACTGAAGTTAGAACTAAACGAAGCTAAAAAAGAAATCAACTCTATGCAGAAAAGGTGTATTGAATTAGAGAGAAAAAAAAGAAAAAACAACACTATTGTATTTGGACAAAAGCTCAAAAAAGAAGAAATACTAAATACTCTAAACTCGATTCTGGAATGCGACATTAAGGAACAGGACTTAAACAACATATACACCCTCGGAAAAACTGAAGATCCACCGATAGTCTTGGAGTTCATATCCTTTCTAAAGAAGCAATCCCTTTTTAAGGACACCGAAAAGTTAAAAAAACTCACGCAACACGGAATATCTCTCACAAACGACTTATGTCCAGAGGATAGAGAGGAACTTAAAATATTGAAAAAACATCTGAAGCAGGCTAAGGAACAAAACTGTGTTGCAAAAATAAGAAACTTGAAACTAATTATAGATGGGACCCCCTATACAGCTAATCAGCTGCAGTCTCTAGAAGAAGAGGAAAGTACAGAAAACGAGTCTGAAGACGAAATATTTAAAAAAACAAGCACGGAGAATCCAAAAAATCCAAAAACAGCTGAGAGCTCAAAACAATACACAGCAAAACCAACGGCGGAAAGAACTAACACCGAAAAAGCAAAAAGGAAGAGAAGGAAGATACAATATAGTCCTCGAGCCGTCAGGACTCGAAGCAGTAACAAATAAAAATAACACTTTTTTTGCTCGAATTATTATATTGCAATAAACCTTCATTATTTACTCGGCACTTTAATATTGAATATTGGATATGTTTAGAATCTTTTGATCATATAAAATTTAGTTATCTTTGTACCGAATACATATTAATTTTATAAGGCTTCTGCCATATTTCACTTTTAGGATAAAAAAATAGACTAGGAAATAAGTAGTTAGATCGAAAATATAGAACATAGTTACTCTTATTTAATTTGGCTTGAGCTTTGAACAAAAAAAAAACTAAATAAAAAAGAAACACAGACCGTATTAAATAAATTAAAGCAATGGATAGATATCTGCTGGACTTTGATATCTTTGAACCGGCAACCATTGAGGCAAGGAACTTAGAAATGGCAAACAAATTAAAAAATTAAATCAATGGCTTATCCAAAACAACATAAATATTAAGGTGTAAATCAAAGTATCAAGCTAAATTAAATTAAATTAAATTGAATTGAACTGAGTAAGATTGGATTGGATTGAATTGGATTGAATTGGATTGAATTGAATTGGATTTGAATTGGATTAAATTAAATTGAATTAGATTAAATTGGATTGGATTGGATTGGATTGAATTAAATTGAATTAAGTTAAATTAAACTAAAATAAATTTAACTAGATTGTATTGGGTTAGGTTGGATGAAGTAGATTAAATTGGATTAAACTAAGTTAGGTTGAATTGAATTGAATTAAGTTGGGTCGGGTTAGGTTAGATTAAGTCAATTAAAAAAGCGATAACAGAAAAATGTTATAAACAAATTCAGAAAGCTAAGAACTACAGACAAGCTCACTAGAGCTTTGAAGATCTTAGACTTTCATATATATGATATCTTCTATATTTACTCATGCTTTGTATTTAAAATAACATTGTTTTTATTGTATCATTTGGTATGAATAAATATTATAAATAAATAAATAAAATAAATAAATACAGAGCATTCGACCCAACTGAACAGGCAAATCTGCAAGGGTGCCTGATACGTCATAGATGGAGGATACTTGCTGCACAGAGTCGTGTGGACTAGAGGTCGATCATTGGCATCAATTTGTGAAAGCTATGTTGCATTTTTTAAGTCCAAGAACAAGGACAGTGCTGTAGTCGTCTTCGATGGTTACCTTCAAGATGGTACTAAGTATGCTGAGCGATCAAGAAGATCACGTTAACAGATGTCAGTAGATGACATGTTCGATCGAACAATGATCCCGACAGTGACATAAGGAAAATTCCTAGGAATCCTAGGCAATATGAAAAACAAAATCCGTCTTATTTCAATGTTGAAGGAAAACCTTGCAGCGGCTGGAATTCAAACAAAACAGGAACAAGAGGATGCGAATACACTTATTGTCACCACAACAATGGATCTCGCAATATGCTGAAGACGTAGATTTGCTTGTGATATGATTGGTCGTTCTCGGGGTGTACATTCAAATGTATACTTTCTAAAGCCGGGTAAAGGCGCAGTTTAACAACTAATTTTTTCTCCTGACTGCCAACCAGACCAATCCATCAGTGACGCACATTGTTTTTGAGTTTCTGCACGCCATGGGAGGATGTGACAACTTCAGCCTCATTCAAAGTAGGAAAAATTCAGTTTCTCCAAACCCTCAAGAAAAACCCTGCCCTAACCAAGATCATTCACATTTTTAAAGATTCTACGGCACATGCTGACACTGTTACTAATGCTGGCCTTACCTTTTTACAGCATTGTACAAATTGACTGACAAGGAAGACACGTCCTTGAACAAATTGAGGTATAAATACTACCTTAGATCTGCATCACAACATCCCATTTGGCGTCCCTGCCTCCTACCGACGCTGCAGCACTGCAGCATTCACTGAGAGTATACTTTCAAGTACAAGGGCTTGGAAATAAAAAATATCCTGAGCAATGGGGTTGAAAGAAAACCAAAGGAAGCCTGCAGCCAGTACCAACGCTCCAGTCACCAGCACCAGAGGCAGTTTTGAAACTCATTTCTTGCAAATGCTCGAAGACCTGTCGGACCAACTGTGGATGCGAAATAGCTGGCCTCAACTGTTTTAATATATGCCTGAACTGCGAGAACAACTGTAATAACATGCCCGTTGCAAAAATTGAAGATGAAGCAGAGGATGATCCGGAGGTCCATGAATCACTTGACGGTAACTATGCAAGAATAATTATATTCCACTTTTATTTCTCGACTCACTATTTATTTATGTGTTCAAAATATGTTTCTAATTAGGTACTTACTGCTTTTATAAACCTTATTTGTTTCAGACGTACAAGAACTGGAAGGCTGCTCTGATGAAAATATGATGGAGCCCGTGCCTAAGAGGACTCGGATAGATACATATAGGTACATATAAATAAATTGGACATAAACTCTCGATAGATACTGCTTTCATATTTATTCAATAAACTGCAAACATTTAGAATTAAGTCAATGATCATTTGTTTCAGGCGTAGATGAACTGGAAGGCTGCCTTGGAGAAAGCATGGAAGCTGTATCCTAGAGGGCTCGATAAATACACGAAATTTACGTTTTTCAATAGCCTATAGAATAATATTTAGCTTCATAAAATAAAAATATAAATACATTATTTTTTTTGGCTACTTTCCCAAAATTACTGAAGTTCCTCGAAACTCTTTTGCGTGGGAACCATATGACGTGCAGAGAAAATTTAGTAGAGCGTCATTATTGTAGATGATAATTGGCTCCTCTTTATTTCAATACAGAGCCACTTTCTGCGTAAGTAGCTTGCTTTGCCAGTTATAAGCTGAAAATTACAACAAAAAAAAAATTATTTTCAGTGATTTTTTGATGATTTCTCATATTCGCCGATAGAATTTTGGTTGGACAACTTCAGATTCGTGTTCAGCACCCCAAAAAACATAAAATAAACCACTAAAAACAAAAACATCAAAACTTTTCACTTTGAAATAGCATTTGATTGAACTATAAGGTCTATGAACCAGTCCCATGGTAGAAAATAAGTTCGGGGTCTATATAATAATTAAGTGCTTGTTAGGTCGTAATTAGGGCCTCTAATTGAAAATTAGGTGCTCCTTTATTTTTTAAGAAAATAAAAAAAAAACTAAGGGACTCTATGAAAGCTAGTAGTCCCCTATAGTAAGAAATATTTTTTTAAAATTTTTCTTTTGTATCAGAATTAGGTGCTTTTTAGGTCTTCCTGAATAGTCGAAAAAAAAACTGAATCGGTTAATTATTAACTGAGTTACAGTTTTTTTTACATTATTAGCGCATTGCTGGCTTCACGTTTACTTGGTGGTGTTTCAAGAGGTTATAATGTTCCTGGATAAGAATTAGGTGCTACTTAAGTGCTCCGGAATAGTCAAAGAAAAACTTGAATCAGTTATTAATTATTAACTGAATTACAGATTTTTTTTCATTATTAGGGGAGTGCTGGCTTTACGTTTACTTGGGGGTGTATGTGCAGCGAATCTGATGAAACTGGCTAAAATGTTGTTCAGTGCTGGATTTACCAATTTTCCGCCATACGCCTGTTTAAAAAGGCCGCCTTCGTGTTGGCAGAGGCGGCGAGTGCGTCAAAAAACTGGGGGCCAAGAAAATACAGGAAACCAACAGTGGCGTATGCGTAGCCAGCCTTTTGGGGGCGAAGGAGGCAAACTTATAAGGGACACCAGGATTAAATGAAGCCCGCCGCAGGGCGGAAAACCACTCCGGGTGCCACGCCCAAAAATGTTTATTTTGAGCCTTCTAAAAAAATATATATATATATATATATATATATATATATATATATATATATATATATATATATCTGTACTACCGTTGATTATACTACCGACATTTTATTACATTTGGTACACATTATTATGATCTGTGTGTGCTCTTTTGAACGAATAATTTTTTTCCATAGGCACTTTTTATTTTTGAAACCAGCGTTTACAAGGCTATATGATTTTTTTGGTAGGTATCTGTTCTTTGTGCTTTGGTATTTGTTATAATATTGTTCGAATTTATCAAAAATCAAATGATGATCCAACGCGAAACAGAACCGCGTTTCGCGTTGGATCTTCGGCTTTCTTTTTCTGATTATTTTTCGTCTTTTTATACTTTCTCCTGATTATTTTTTGAAATTTTGCAACCTCTCTAGATTTGCCGCCCTAGGCCTGTGCGTAATTTGCGTATAGGGAAATACGGCACTGTGTTGTTGTATTGGAATAAGGAGCTATTTAAGTGCTCCTAAATAGTCAAAGAAAAAACTGGATCAGTTAATTATCAGCCAAATTGCAATTTTTTTTTTCTTTATTAGGGGATTGTTAACTTCACTTTATTAGGGGATTGTTAACTTCACGTTTACTTGAATTACTTGGTGGTGTGTCAGAAGCTGAAATGTTTCTGGATAGAAATTAGGTGCTATTTGAGTGCTTCTGGAAAGTCGAAGAAAAAACTGTATCAGTTAATTATTAACTGATTTACAAATTTTTTTTTCATTATTAGGGGAATGTTGGCTTACAGTTTACTTGGCATTTCCAGCGAATCTGATGACAGTGGCTAATGTTGTTGTATTGGAATTAGGTGCTATTTAGGTGCTCCTAAATAGTCGAAGAAAAAACTGGATCAGTTAATTAAGTGAATTACAGATTGTTTTTCCATTATTAGGGAATTGTAGCTGCATTTTTTACTTGGTGGTGTGTGTCAGAAGCTAATAAAATATTTTTGAATAGGAATTAGGTGCTATTTAAGTGCTCCCAAATAATCGATGAAAAACTTGAATCAAATAATTATTAACTGAATTACAGTATTTTTTTTTAGCTTCCTAGATAGGAAGCTATATGGTGATGGCCCGATTTTGACCATGTCAAAATTTCATTAAATCTTGACGTGTTGGATCATTTTAAGCTTTTTTGGCAAGGTGCCACATTTCCGTCTGTGTGTAGGTGTGTGTGTGTGTGTGTGTGTGTGTGTGTGTGTGTGTGTGTGTGTGTGTGTGTGTGTGTGTGTGTGTGTGTGTGTGTGTGTGTGTGTGTGTGTGTGTGTGTGTGTGTGTGTGTGTGTGTGTGTGTGTGTGTGTGTGTGTGTGTGTGTGTGTGTGTGTATGTATGTATGTATGTATGTGTGTGTGTTGGCATTTTTCTGAGAAAACGGCTCGATAGAATTTGATGAAATTTTGGAAATAGGTATAAGAAGACGTGTAGGGAAAAGTTACGCAGAGATATAGGAGAAAAAATAATTCCTCTCCAAGATATGACGTCATTGATCTTTTTTTTAAATGGGAACGCCATCTTTTTTTTCATTGATTGGTAAGAGCTCATTTTGGTATTATCCCCGAAAAATGATATCAAAACCTGAAAAAATTTCAAGATTTATTAAAAGGAATTCATGGTTTGAAATGACAATTAATGACAATGACAATCATTTAATTATAGGTACCTACCTAGTTATTTATCTAGGAAGCGTCATGCATGTCAAAAATTTGACATCTGGCTTTCATTAACAAGGGACTGTTGAATTTACGTATATTTAGTTGTTTAGTGACAGCAAATCCGATGTTAGTGGCTCAAATATTTTTGTATAGGAATTAGGTAAGCGTAAAATCGTTCGTCAGTTCCTTAATATTTTATTAACATTATTGTAAAAGATATAAACTAGGTACAGTGGGAATCATTGCAATTGGCACACACTTTAAAAACATTCCCCGTAATGTGTCAAAATTTTACTTCTTTGACACACAGGTAATGTCAAAATCTTGTCAGATTGATAAGTCAGTGGTGAACATAAGAGTTTTAATAAACTATTAAAGGAAAAAAATATTTGTTTGCTAAAATGGTTTACCATATGCTTCAAAATGACGAAAAGGCAAGAGGCAATTGAAATGATATAGCACAAGGTGAGACAATTATTGCGTTAGCCCTAGGTTCTGGCAGTAGCACGATCATGAATTTAAAGAGAAAATGGGTCGACAAGAGCTAAATTATCATGTACACCACTGCACTAAACAGAATTATTGGTTAGAATTCTGACTTAATACGAGGGATGTTAAAAGAGTGTGTGCCAATTGCAATGATTCCCACTGTACTGTACATATTTCTGAAATATCGAGCTAAAATGAAAAAAAAATAAAGGTATAATATACCAACAACACACAAAAATGCCAATAAGAGGTGTCTCAACGTTAGGCAGGACATATTGTTTGGTGAATGTCAACACTAATTCTTTTTCCTATAAGCATGCCGAAAAAGCGTTTTCACGCACCGATTTGCGCGCGGAAAGTACCACTTTTCCTTTCCGCACTGCGTGCGTGGAAAAAGCTTTTCACGCACTGATCTTTTTTTTTCAATTTTTCTTCCTATGTCTTGTTTCTCAAAAGATTCAGAATCTTTCTTCAAGAAAGCTATTAGCTTTTTGTACTGACCAATATCGACATCTTTAATGAGTTTTATACCATAATAAATAATTAATTCTACAAACAAAAAAACAAAATGTCAATTTCCGCACGCTCGTAGGAAAAATGGGGCGCTTTCTTTTACTCAGCAATGGATCCATCGAGGACCAGTCTATCTTTGTCTAGTTTATAGAACATCGGAATGACTGTCTCATAATGCTGGCTGCAGATGGATCCATCGCTGAATAAGAGAAAGCGCCCATGCAGTACCCAACACGAGAGTAAAGTATCTTTTTCTACGACTGCTATTAAAAACGCACTACTAACTTACCTGGAAAATCAATTATTCCGCATAGCGTGCGAAAAGTAACTTTTCACACGCTTTTGCGAGCGAAAAGTACTTTTCACACGCTAAAATAAAAATGACACTACTGAATTTTTGTTTTGCAAGTAAATCTGAGTGCATTCAACGTACGTACCAAAATGGTTCGTTGATTATAACCCTAATATTTTTAACAAAAAAAATAATTGAATCGCAATGTGAATATAGTTATGTCGCAGTCGTAGAAAAAGTATAGTGTGTAAAGCGTGTGAAAAGTGCTATTTTCAACACTTGTTGCACAATATACTATTTCCGCCCTTGCGGCTTGCAGGAACTTCGCTGGCGCGTAGTTCGTGCAAACGCCGTTGAGTGCGGAAAGTATAACTTTCCGCACTTGTTAGGTAAATGACTATTCCAGATACCTTTTGGGTGTCTGACAGCAGCTTGGCTGTAGATATACATACCCACAAGTAAACATAAAGCCAGTAGTCCCCTAATTATGAAATAGTATATATTTCCTAACTAGTGTGGAAAGTGCCACTTTTCCGCACGCGATTGCATTTTGCCGAACGACGCGTAGCGGAGTTCGGCAAGCAATCAAGTGAGGAAATTATAATTTCTAAACTAAAATGCATGCAGAAATGTGCACTTTTCCGCTCGTAGTTTCTTTTTTTTACTCAGTTAATAATTAGCTGATTCAAGTTTTTCTTTGACTATTCAGGAGCACTTGAGTAGCACCTAATTCCTATCCAGAAACATTTCAGCCTCTGACACATCACCAAGTAATTCAGGTAAACGTGAAGCCAACAACCCCCAATAGTGCAAAAAAAATCTGTAATTCAGTTAATAATTATTAACTGATCCAGTTTTTTTTTTTTCGACTATTTAGGAGCACCTAATTCCAATAAGTACAACAACATTTTAGCCACTGTCATCAGATTCGCTGTAATTACACCGCACTTCCTATATCACCCTGTATAAAAAAATAAATAAACTCTATATTTTTTTGTGTGAACTAGATGATTAACAATGAATCGCTTTCAAAAATGATGAAAGCGGCATATTTTTCCGTTAATTCATTAAAAAATTGTCGCTTCTCAAAAATTGATGAAATTCATGCTTCGAACGAACCTATTGTTGCTAGTTTAATTGACTTTATAAAATTCACTTATCACATCACTATTCGAAACATACACGACAAATATCGAATTACTTAAGCTACTACTTCTCGCTATTCATAGCAAACAGTGTACTTGAGATTTATCTAGGAAAACCTAGTGCCCTACTTGAATAAAATTCTACGAATTGTTCACGCAACGCGCAGACAATTGCATTTTTAAGAATCCGGCCAAAATCCCGAGGCAATTTCGTAACAACATGCTCTTGGAACTAATTTCCGAACTCAACCATTGTCACCACTGCCATCTAGTGAGAAGAAAACGCATTAATTACTAGCCGCATATCAATTTTAATAAATGCTAGTTTTTATGTGCCTACGCCATAACCAAACACTTTAGTGTCAAAAGTTGACGACAATAAAGTTTAAATTATGGACGCCTTTGAAAATAAATTCTATTTCTAGAAATGTGTCAAATATACAAATACTGACTACTGACTACATGTGAGGTGTAATCTATCAATGAGTCCCTTAACTTTGTTTAGCCCTGAAGATGACACCAAGCTTGTGTCGACACATTTGGCTATCGATTCAACTAATTAAATGGCTAATACTTCCAAATAAGCTGTTTCACTTCTCACTACTCCTGAAACAAATGTATTCGCCCGTATTTTCATGCCCGTAGTTCTGTCACCTCTTACATTCTCTTCACTTTACAATCCTCTCATTAAACCATATTATTTGAATATTTAGTAACTAAATTGAAATTGCTTGGCAGTGGCAAATGAGCATATTGTACGAATAAGTCAAGGCTAGGTATATTTTAAAATGTCCTAGATACCTAAGAGTAAGGCTCTATTATAATAAATATATTATAGTTTATTCCCCTAGCTTTGGTTTGGCATACAAGGGACCTTTATCTTGTAAAAAATAAACTTGTTATAGTAATTTTTGTAACAAGAAAAAACAGCCAAAAAATTAAACCTGTGTATTTGAAAGAAACAATTTTATTTCTAACTGAACATGTTCTCTATAAATCCTAAATGATGATACAAAAAGTGAAAACAATATACTACATAGGTATACATATTTATTTAAAAAAAAAGCGTTTAGGTGTAAATTGTAAATTCTACCTTTTTTAAAAGAAGAAACTAAAAAAAGTAAAAAGTATGACAACTAAAACCTACTAGTTAAAAGATGATACAAATAGAAAAATATTTATTTTCAACAATTGACCACATTACACACTGTTTATTGAGAACTTTCATAGTGCTAGGGGTACCTTTACAATCAAAAACTTCCTTTTTCGCAAACCAACACCTACCTACCTACTTATAGAAAATTGTCACAATATTTACTTAATATAATTGCAATTTTAGTAACCAACTATTTACCTACTGCCTCCAAGATAAATTTAATAAAACTGGCAGAATGGATAGTTGTAATGAAAGTATGAATTTTATCTCAAACTTTATGAATTGGAACTAGTGGCAGGTACGCCAGTAATTCCACCCATTTTAGGAGGGTAAAAATATCCCTTAGCAACTGGCTAGGTGGAACAGAGTAACCCTCGTGTGGGTTCCAAGTCAGCAGGGTATAGAAGGCAACGAGGAGGCAGATCTCGCAAAGCAAGGCGCTGCAAAACCTTTACAAGGCGCAGAGCTTTTTTTGTGCACTAATGAAATGCCACAACTTCGAAGAACTGAACAGATGTGAAAAGGATCAAATGCTCGCTCATTGCGGATCCTTTCCTGGTCTGAGACAAGCATAATGGTTCATATCCATTTCAGCAAAAAGATATGAATAACTGTTTGATATGAACAGAATAGGCATTAGTCGTTAGTCTGTTCACTAGGCACTGCCTGGTGGAATATCGCCTAAAAACAATAGGCAAGCGACCACTGTAGATTTTAAGAACAAGCAACAGAAACTATCTAATTTGAGAATGCCCTGCTCACTTCTACAAGAGGCTGAAATACTTTTAAAGGGTAGGCTAACACCCCAAGGATTGGACATTTTGCCACTTTACCACCCAGGAAGCTGGCCTCCTTTGGGTGAAGCCTACAAATCTTGGAAAGCAACTAGAAGCAGTCACGCACAAAATATCTAGAAAGGTAGCATTGCTTGAGCGGCTAGATCGAGCTGTAATGACTCCTAATGTCATCTACAATCTAGTGCCGTCCTCAATGAAACTGAGCGCGTGTTATAGTGGCCCACTAGGGGCGGATAATAAAGATAAACAACTCTTTAACCACTAAAAAAAGTAAGCACGAATTTTGTTTCTGAATTAGACAGTCAAGTAGGTAGTTGAAAGTCGCACAATATCATCATTAACTAAAATCTAATTTTTAATACTAAAAAAACATTGGAAGCCGACAGTAACTATTTTAATGTAAAAGTCTTCACAATATACACTTTTCGTCTACAGAATTTACGCGAGCCGCTAGCACTATCAAAAAACGAGGACGGTTCAGATAAAGGATGGGTAAATAATATAAACTTATCTAAGCAAATTTCCACCATAATTTATGTTGTACCATTGATAATGTTTGATTCAAAAGACACCTACAGCGATTGGCAAAAGTTGTACTCTTGTGTGGGAAAAAATATAGCAATTATTTCTGCATAACCGATAAACTAAACATTCAAAATCAACCATCACGTACTAGTGTAAAATCACTTAAGGTGCTATTTATAAAAATTATTAGAGAATTAACTACCGAAATGTAAAGTAGTTATAACATCAAACGAAAAACATATATTGAGTAACTGTGAAAAAATTGACAGAATGGTCGATGTTTTATCACCCGCTATCATCCGTTATATTTTAGAAATTGTGACTAGATCACTTCACTGGATTCTGGTAGAATACGTTCTGGGAAAATTAGAAATATTGATTCTAGGCACTTACATTGTGGACTTGATTTGAAAGATGGCTCGTCCATTATGTGAACTTATGAAAATGTTCATCCGCATATAACGGGTTTTCACAAATAAGGTAAATCAAATATGGCTATTATTTCCACTATTCTGCTTTTTTCTTCCATCAATAACGGAATTTTCTCAAGCAAAAATCTTCCGACAAATAAAGAAAAAATAATGCAAACATTTTCCATTGTGAAATTTATTTATGGAAACCGATGCGACGTCCGTTTTTGTGACCAAAGGACTCTTTGATTTTTTGAAGACCCTATAGCATCAACTATTAAATTATACTGGATTGCCAATCAGAATTAAAATCACGTTGACTACGTTCTGCCACAGTCAAGGTTTTTGAATGATAGAGAATATGATTTAATAAAGTTTATGTGTCATAAATTCTTGTTCAAGTTCGATGTACTTTTTTATCCGCATATGATTCCAATTTCCAGCAGATTTCTGTATATCATTTATTTTCTGGGCCAGTATTTCTGCCCTTGATTTACGAATTTGATTGACCGTTAAATTATTTATAGTTTTGAATGTGCTAGTCCCAATGAAGTCATACAGAGTTTGGCATATTGAAAGACCTGAAAAATTTGGTGTCGTAGAAAAATTCCCTATCGAAACAAATATAAAGTATTCTGAATTGATGATATGCTATTATATCTGTGCGTAGAAGAGAAGAGGTTGGCTGAAAAAACAGTCTTAGTGGGTAGTTAATTTTCAGTAATGATGATAGCATAGTGCTGCCTCATTCAGTGTATCAGAGGGAATAGACGATGCAGGGCGCCGTTTGCAAAGTTTCTGATTTTATTTGGACTTGACCTTGTGGTTGATAATTTTTAAAAGTTGTTATGAAAATCCGTTTTTTTGTATAATACCGTAATAATTTGGAAATGTATTTGAAACAATTACTGTGATAACACACTGCAGTGGTATGTAACCAGTTGAAAGAATAGAATTTGGCTAAATTTTTGCAAATCAATACAGTACAAAATAGTGTTTTGAAATATTATTAAGTCTTCCGAATCTTTAATGATGAAACAATATACTTTTATTTTGGTCATATATTAAAAACACAGTTATCACCTACCTTATCAACCAACAACCTTGTGAATCATTCCTATTTTTTCTTATTTACAACTATAATGATTTAATCACTTTACGGAATAGAAAATTATTTACCTATCCTCTGTACAAAATCGTTCTCAATTACAATATATACCTATAAGTGTTCAAAAAGTTACAAGGCGGTCAATTATCTCTGAAACCACTAGTACAATTTGAATAGGGTTCTGTTCTTGGGTGTTATTTGCAATACCGCATTCAACCATTATATCGGCACTCTTGTCAGACTTACGAATTTGTCTGTAGGCGCACATTTTTTTTTTATTATAATAAGTAGTACGTAGTAGTAGAGTTGCCATTTTATTTGATATCATGCGGTCTTTTTTCAGTGTTTGCATGTTATAATTAAACTTAACTAACAAACGGAAAAAACACGAATCTAGAAAGGAAGACGATCCAGAGCCTTTTCAAAGTACAGCTGCCCAAGGCATTTACCGTTTGCCCAGCTTCACGTTCTTCATTTGACAAATGCCTAATTTCAAAAGCCATGCGTCAGACGTTTAGCGCGTGTGAACGTTTTTGACGTTAGGTGTTTATGGTTTTACCCGTCTGATAATAATCAAGAAAATGCAGACTAACCCAAACAAACCCGTCCGCCTAGTGCGTCTAGTCCTTGTAAGTTAACATTTTATTTAAAACACATAGCGCGCTCAAGGGACGCTATAACTAAACCAAATTAACTTTGTTTGTACCTAGACGCACTAGGCGGATGGGTCTGTTTAGGTTAGTCGGCATTTTCTTGATTATTATCAGACAGGTAAAAGGTAAAACCATAAACATTAATGTCAAAACCGTTCACACGCACAGTGGGCGCAACGCCAAGCGTGAACGCTAATAGTTGCACTGACGAGTTAGGAAATGTACTGCGCACTAAACACTCCGTTCCCTAGAGAGTGGGCGCAAATTAAATCAAACGTAAACAGCTATAATTTTGCTGAAGCCAATCAGTCAAAATTTAGATTAGAACACATATGTAACGTCAACAAAAGAACAAAAAAAAAGAGATCAAAGGGCCGATTTATTCGCCTTCTGATAAACTGTCAGGTATTCAATCTGAAGGATAAAAACACAATCAGTAATCCCATTGGTCTGCGAGTTATCTGCCCAATAGAAATACGGAACGGTAAATTTATCTCGCAGATATTCACCAGCAAGTTTATCTGAAGATGAAAAAAACCGGGCCTGATCTCAATCAAACAAATGCTATCCACCATGGAAGTGAACAATAAAATGTGCTACCTGTATACATATTTCTACATTCCTTCATAGATATTAAATAGTTAATAGGTGTGTATTCGCATCACGCTAATTAAAAAGATTACATTGAACTTTTTTTTTTATTACTATTGTTACCTATTATCAGAATGTATGTATAATACACATTGAATTGACTGTTACTTATCACCTTCTTTCAGGCATTTTGATTATCAGTCACCTGAGTCACCGATTGTCTAGGGAACAAAATGTGTGGCACGCAATACATTTCCTAGCTCGTCAGCGCAACCAGTAGCGTTCACGGTCTAGGAAACGTAAAAATGCAAACGGTAAATGCCTTTGGCAAATAAAGAAGTGATACTCATTTCAAATTCAAGTTAATTTAATTTAGTTAAAGTGTCCCTTGAGCGCGCTTTGTGTTTCAAATAAAATGCCAACTTACAAGGACTGGATCGCACTCGGCCGACGGGTTAGTTTGGGTAAGTCTACATTCTCTTGATAATTATTGATTCAATTTGGTTGTCATTCATTCATCACTCACTTGTGAATTATGCTGTTTTCATATATTTTGTTAATTTTATGCTGTTTGACATACATACGTAAATCCTATAAGTATAATCTAATACACGTTCTCACCATAAACTTTTGGCTTCTCTTAACTAGCCTGTTTTGTCATATAACCAATGCAGAGCTGGTTTAAGTAGATAACAAAATACTCATGTTAATTTAGTTTAATTATAGCGTCCCTTAAGCGCGCTTTGTGTTTTAAATAAAATGCTAACTGACGATTACTTGATAGCACTAGGCGGACTGGTTAGTTTGGGTAAGTCTGCATTCTTTCGATAATTATTGATTCAATTAGGTCGTCATTCATTCATCACTCATTTCTAAATGATGCTGTTTTCATATATTCTGTTAGTTTTATGTTGTTCGAAATACATATACGCAAATCCTATAAGTATAATCTAATCAACGTTCTCACCATAACCTTAAGGCTTCCCTTAGCTAGCATTTTTTGTCATATAACCAATGCAAAATAATGCTCGTTATAAATTCACGTTTTTAATTGCCTAGTCAAATAACATCTGCCTAAATCAAATCTTGGCATTTAACAAACAATGATTGCAGTTATAAGCAAATACAAATCCCTAGGGAAATACAAATCCCTGGACAAATAGCAAAATCTTGTTAATTTTCAACTGTTTTAATTTGCCTCAGTAAATGACTAGGCAAATGACTATATGCCTACGACATATACACGATAATGTATTTTAGCTGAAACGATATTACCCCAATCATAGAAATCCCGACAAATTCATTCAAATGTATTTTAAAAGGAAAAAATTCACTTATCTCAGCTGCAATTGATTCTTCTGGTCCCATTTAGTGAAAACCCGAAATCAAGGATAATGAAATCACTAGTCTTGGGAAAGCGGTGAACCAGCGTTTAAAAATAAGTAATAATAATTTATTCATGTTTATTACACATCAAAGAGGGCGCTTTCTTTCATTCACTGATGTATACATTCCACCATTATGATACAGCCATTTCGGTTTTCTATGAACTAGACAAAGATAGACTGGTCAACGATGGGAGAGGATGGATCCATCGGTCAATAAAATAATGCGCCCAGAGTATTTACATATGTCATTAAAGAATTTGAAAAGTATTTTATAACACAAAACATACAATATCACATAGGTTCATAAGTATAAACCTCCTAATTACCAATTATGATACAAGGTTTACATAAAGTAAGTTTACTAGGTTTGGAAGGTAAGTTCTTCTATATAAGTAATTTTTTTTGTTTACACTAAAACTTCAGGGGCTTGATTCCAATCATTTGTCTTTTCGGGTTTTTACTAAATAGGTCGATCGATGGTACCTACAGACCACTTGTTAAGTCTGACAACCACGTGGATACAATTTTTGTATCCAGCGTGGCAAATAAGATCCAGGTACAAAATTATTTTGAATTTTCCCCAGTGACTAGCGATAAAATACCATCCTGTAACTTTCGTACACTTTGTAGGTACATATTATTACCCACTAAACACAGATCAAAGTTTATTTGGTCACTCATCCATTCATAATTTACAAGTTTCTACCGTTAATAACTAGCGTTATGGGTTAATCCTGCATATCTTCTGGTATCTCATGTGGATTCAGGATACCCGGCACTGATAGTTGAATGCGACGTTTTTCGGCTTGCGCCGTCTGTAGGGCAATCTCGCGCTCCTCTAGGAACAAGTCTGTGTCGTCCTCTCCGATATATTCCTGAAAAATGAAAAAAAAAATAATAATGTTTCATAATGCAGTGGTTATGTGACATATTAACAAGTGACAATATTCTTTGATGATTCTTTCTTGAATGGAAATGAGAGAAAACACATGTCAGGGACCTATACAGCAAATCGAAGAGAGTTAAATATAAAAGGAATTTTAGATCTCAAACAACCAGAATTGGCTCTCATTGACCAATCAAAGTCATTTGGTTCAAGGAAAAAAATATTACTTTCACATGTAAGAGGTTGGATGTTTTGTTGGTAGTACTTAGTAAGACAATGAGGGATATAGGCATGACTATATTGAAACAAAAATAAAATACAATAGACTATTGCAGGAAGCCAGAAAAGAATATTATGTGCGATCAATCAATAAATCAATTGCTTAAAAATCAAAATTCCATGAAGTATTCCAGAAGATCCATAGGATGTTTATAATTTGCTCGTATTAAGTAATGAACAAGGCAGCCTCTAGGCTTGTCAGCGATTTAAATCAGAAGGATTATTCCAGTATGGTTGCAGTTGAGAGGATATAACTCTTCCAGAAAAATATCGACCTCTTAACTTGTTGCCTTTCTTCTCCAATGTGCTTAAGAGGACAAATGTAATTGATTAGGGAGATTTTTAAATTTTTAGGCCTATCAAATATATGCTTATTGTTGTGATTTCAAAATAAATAATATTGTTTGTAGTAAAAATATAATTAAAATAATAGAACGCTGCGGTGCATTTTTCTTAATTAAGTAAGAAATTCCAGAAATAATTCTATTTTAGTTATTAATGATACAAGTTCGATATGAACGCCATAATGAAACGCGTGTAACGTTAAACCACGAGGCGTCAGCCGAGTGGTTTAGTTACACAAGTTTCATTAATAAAGTTCATATCGAACGTGTATCATTCAAAATTTAATCTACAATGGTCCAAATAGATTTGATTTGCCTTGAAATAGCAAAAACTTTTCAAATTAAAATTTGAAATTTAGCAGGTGCCCGTACTAGTCGAGAACCTGCTTGTTGGTTTTTAGAATTTTGACTTTGGCAGCTTCAATATTGGAGTCCATTTTTGTGCCATAAATTCAATTTTATAGTGGAAAATAATATTATTATTGGTGATTCTGAGTTCGAAAGTGTCTCTTCGAATATAGAGACAGCATTATTGAAAAGGTTCTTCTGGCAACTAACTTTCTTTTTGTATATTTTTCATTTCAAAATTTGGGTGTTATTATGAATTCTTAAACGCACTAGTGCTATTATGAAGGACCTAATGACATTCAAATGACAATGCTAAATGTGTCATAATGACACCGACATAGATTAATAGATTTATTTATCCTTTGAAGTATACAGCTGTGTGTGTGCTTAAATGTGAGCTTGAATGTCATCCCTGGTCACCCCGACTTGCATCGTTTTAGTGCACAAAACGTTTATGTTTATGTATAATTCCGCCAAGTCTATCTTTTTGTGTGACTGTTTTTCGCATAACAGGATTGTTGTAATCGAAAGTTTTGTACCAGTGTTGAAAAGCTAAGCGACCACGTATTTGTAACGTTGCATTAGATGGGTTAAATAAATTAAAAACCTATAATTTCATGTGTGGATTTTTGGAGCTAAATTCATACACTTATGTAAAACCTAGTCCAGGGTAACTATTGGTATTTCGACCGTTTGTCAAGAGAGAACACTAAGAAAGTAGAGAAGAATCAAAACTCTGATTTTTGGCTGTGTTTACATTAAAAACACTAACATTATAGAAAAAATCATACCAATATTTTAATAAACCACTCTCGAAATTTTGACAGCTAAAGGCAATACCATTAGAAAAGCGTACTGAATTTTCTTGTGCCAAAATATTTTGGGACTGACTTGCAACATGTTTATGCAGATTTAATAATCGTTAAAATGTAAAAGTTTTTAAATTTTAAAACGTATTTTTTATTAAAGTTGTTTAGTTGTTTTCAATAGTTTTGGACAACTAGTTCAGCCAGAGTCCATTACTAAAAAAATTGACCAAATTCATACTACTTATCAGGCGCACGAAGCACCTTACTTTAATACGATCTTTTTGCAGACCATCACTTGATAAATACCAAAATTCGTATTTTTTTAGCCAGAAAACTGTAAGCATGGCTCTGTATAATTTCGTTTCCAGATGCTGTTGTGTATAGGTATGCGATGAAACCATACCTCTGTAGAAAGAGACTGTTGGGGTGTTACAGGGTAGTTTAATTGGCTTGTTTTTTTTTTAATTTGCCACATAAATGATCCGTCTTGAGCAACTATGCAGTTGAAACAAATGTTTACACATATTCTTCAAATGATATGTTAATCCATAAAAATTAGATTAGTTTTTCCCTTTGACTTTTTAACTTGTTATAGCGTCAAACTTATTCCAATGGAGGGAGGTTCAACAAAAACATCCTGCAGCATTATCTGGAGAAACACGCCTATAAATGGCTTTGTCAAAATCAAGTTACGCCTTCGATCACATTAATTGATTTAATAAAATTTCATAAAGTATACACAATATATTACTCACTCTAATTTGCACCAAGAAATCCCTCAAATGTTCCTTAAAAGCCACGACATCTTGATTTAGACTGAACATTCCTTGCACCATCACTTTAACTTGGTTATCGGTCAAATGTTGGGGAAATGCGGATTTCAATAAAGATCCAGTATATTCTTTCATAAAAAGGACGTTATCAGGAGTCGGTCCAAGTTGGCAATTCACACGACCACTTTCAACCTAAATAAGAATGTAATAAGGCCAGTTTGAATATTAAAGTGTGTGATAAATTCCATTTTTCTGATTCAAGTATTCCATATATAGTGATAAAAGTATGCTTCATTTTAGCTTAATCTTAATACTACTTAAAAAAAAAAAAATCTTACAAGAGAAAAAATGTATGCCAATATTGAAGCGTGCGTTGCCAAGCTTGCTGAATGTGATGTATCTGTAGTCACTTCCAGAACGTTCCGTAAAATATCTGTCAAATATGTTCTATAGAAGATGGGAGCGGCCGACTCGTTTAAGTCCATATTTTGTAACAATTTCAGGAGTATCTGCAAGCCTAGCTCTGCCACGTTTCTCATTGTGTGCTTGAACGCCCAAATTATACTATCCAGAACAAACTAAAAAATAATAAAAAAAAATTATTAATGAATGCATATATGCCTTTCTCATTCCCCATAAAATTGAGTGATGACATAGTTTATATGAACAAAGCCTGAAAAAGAAATGGGATTTTAAGGGATCTAACGAGTTAAAAGACGAACCACTACTTCAACTAAAGATTGGGTGTAGTGGTATTGAGAGTATAAAGCTACAGTGCCTAATAAGATATGGTGGGAAATCGTCTGGACCAGGTCCCTTGTCAATATCCAAAGTGGATCTTTCACAAATTGATATCGATATTATAAATTGTCAGAGGTCGATGTCACCAGAAGGTGAAGAGTCTTCCAGAACTCACTCTTTATCGCTAGGTTCATAAAGTACGCGGCAAACAAATTGACATTATCATCCCCATAAAAACAGCATACATAACCAAAGTGTGCAACTGGAAATTTTTCCAACTTTTCAGAAATCATTGCGCAAAATTTCCATTTCCTGAAAATCGGACTTAAAATTGATCATAATTGCCAGCCCATTCATTATCTGCAATAAATCTTATTTTGAACGTTTAGAAAAGCTTAAAATAATTATTTTGCATATTGAAATGTTATACATATTATATAAACTAATTACAAATGTAAGGAAATCACAACATTTTTATACAGGATAGAGTCACAAACAGAGGATAGAAGATTTGTTTACTTATGTTTATAAATACTTTACATCAAAATATGGACTTATCATAGGAATGGTGGCATTAGTACAACACAATTGGGTGAACTAACTAATCACAAAATATAAATAGAATAAAAGTATCAGCTTCTATAAAAATAACGAGCTGTCACATAAAAATATGTGCTATATTAATACCCTAAAACAATTGAGAGTAAATCCTATCTTGATGAAAATATTCAAAATGCTGAGTTCGGGAAGGATGCATGGATGCAAGGATGCACAGCTGCGTCTTTAAATAGTAAAGGAATGTGGAAACAAAATATTAAACATAAATGCTATAGCATAGCAAGCATTTGTTGCTCTGCCAGATGGTTTATTTATTTTATTTTTAGTAGTTTTTCTACAAAAATATGAAAATTAAGATTTTTATTATTGAACGACGTGCCATATGCATCACCTGACTGATGAGACGACCCATTATAAATAGAAATCAATAAATTTGGTTTTTATGAAGAAATACATTTTTTCCTTGCTGTGATAAAAACAGAGGTTGGCCTTTTCGCCTATGAATGATCATAATTTTATCTGCGCAGCTGCCATTGTGACTTGGCCACTTCCGTTCGAGAACCCCTGGAGGTTATCTACAAATTTCGTTGGAGGAATAGTGGCTGCTGATTGGAATTTTATTATTAAGAACGGTTGGAAAATAACTAGGGTGTTCATATTTTTCTTAGGAAATCTCCACCTTTATCTTATATTATTACGGTCAGGGGATTCATTGCTTTATCATGATTTATTTAGAACTATTATTTACTGGGATGTTGTGGTGCTTTACTTTTTCTATCCAACAGTTTCTAAAGAACTTTTGGGCATTTTTCATATTTCGTATTTCCTCCAAATTTCTTATGTCGTTTTTGTTTGCCGAAATTAAACGACTCGGTTTTGCATTTGGCGTTTTCTGCTGACTTAATGAGCGATATATAGTAGCAATAAAATTACTGGCATATAGACCCTCGTCCCGTTTTATTTAAAAACCATATAGCTATACACTTTTTTCTACATTTGTGAAATAGTTTATTTTGACACAACCAAAGATCGCAGATCGCTGTTGACTGATTGAACTGATTCTCCCAATTGATCTTTATGCAGAGCACACAAGGACACTATCATCAGCAAACATTGAGTACTCATTTTCAAGATTAGTAAACGGCTACGAACATTCAGTATATACTGTAAAGGTCCCAAAACTGACCCCTGGGCCCCCCCTACTGTACTGCTACATCTTGTTCATCACTGGGGTTTCATTGATCACTGTATATTGTTTTCTGTTTGTAAAGTGGGATCTTTGCAAGACCTACTACGGAATCCCAGTTTTTCAATTTTTGCAAGATCAATAAAAACTGCTGTGACATATTTATTTTTGTCTAATTCACCGGAGATGTAATCCAAGAGGTCTGCAGTAGCACCCAATGTGTTGGTCTCCGTTTGGATCCTATATTCTCTGATGTCCAATTTAAACGTTGAGTCAATGATGTTTATCATTCTGGCTTTAGAGATTTTTTGAAGAATTTTTGAAAACGAGCTGAAGAGTCAATCGGCCGATAGTACTTCAGGTTGTCATGTGGAAATTTTTTTGGATTGAATATGCAGTCTTAAGTTCATCAGGATATATGTCGTTTTCTAATACATACTTTATAATATTAGCAATGACAAATCCTATGATATCAAATAATTCCACCAACTCCGACTTTCTTATGCTATTCACACCTAGACTACATTTATTTTTTAAACCGTTTATTTCTGCAGGATTGGTAGATGTAAAAATTGGATTCACTCTCAATTTTTTTAAAGGTTTATTGTTAAAGATCTGATTAATTTTATCCAACACTGACATAATACAGGGTGTTCCGAAATTAATGCACCAAATTTTTATGGCATATTCTACGTCGATAATAGACCCTAGTTTCCTATATAAACATATGTCCGGAAACGCTTCTTTTCAGAGATACAAGGTGTTGAAATTCTAAGAAAAAAACTATTTTTCTATCATAACTTTCAAATCACTCTAGATATTTCATTGAAATTTTGTACACTGCTTTCAAGCAGCGAAAGTCATTTTTTGATATGAAATTATTTTTTTTTAAAATTATCAATGACGTCCGTACCGGATTTCTATGGAATATTTTTCAAGAAAAAAATGGTGCGCCACTGCTTTTTTCTGAAATAAAAATAATTTTTGAAATCCACATTCAATTTGGAACAAATTTGATCTCTACACTTTTTTCTGAAAGATGCACCATTTTCAAATAAAAAATAAAGAACCATTTTAGGGCATGGCGAAATCGTGAAAATTATGATTAAAATGCTGAACATTAAACACCTAAAGTTTGAAATTATTTCTGTGACGTCACTGATTTTTTTTTTTTTTTTTTTTTTTCAAATATTTCACATCAAAAAATGTCTTTTGCTGCTTGAAAGCACTGTACAAAATTTAAATGAAATATCTAGAGTGGTTTGAAAATTATGATAGAAAGATAGTTTTTTTTCTTAAAATTTCAACACCATGTATCTCGGAAAGGCAGCGTTTCCAGACATATGTTTATATAGGAAACTAGGGCTTATTTTCGACGTAGAATATGCCATAAAAATTTGGTGCATTAATTTCGGAGCACCCTGTATAATGACAATATAATTGCTTTGATTTTCAATGACATATGTGGCCTATAACGCACTACCTGGAAAAATTTACCATATATTTTTATATGGCAACTCATTATTTTAAAATGTTCTATAATCTACTTCTCTCAAATTCTCATGGCCCAGAGCTTACACACAAAATGTTCCCCACCGTCAAACCAGACAAATCCATGCTTCCAAGTAGATCCCCACCAAACTAACTATGGACAGAACTCACTTCTGACCAGATTTGCTAGACTAGCGAAGAGATTTTCAGTCCGTTTAGAGTATTTTCAAAATCACAACATATTTAAGATACAACTTAAATATTGCCGGCGGTGAAGGTTTTGCCTTATGGTAGTTACTGTCTGCTATCTGGGGTGTTTTTTGTTTACAGATAGTGTAGGCTGAAGTTAACTTGGTTCCTGCTAATGTTTCAAATATTATTCTGGTATTATAAGTACCAATATTTTCTTAACATGTTCATGCTGAAGTTGCCAGATCATTTTTTTTATGGTAAAATTCATGGTGATTAAATATTAAATAGGTTTTCCAATTTCATTTAACCTTTGTCATATGGAAAAAATTATCAAGAGGTTGTTGTCTCTTCCTTTTTATTTCATATTTTTATTTTACACCATGACAGGGACATTATAGCAGCAGTGTAATGCACTACCAACACACAACTACAAAGTTTCCTTATCCGATACGGATTTAACATGGCACCAGTTGGTAATATTTGATTTATGATTTTCTTGTGTTGAGTGCACTTATCTCTCAAATATGACGTCATCTCATAATATGTAGCTTAAATGGACTTTGCGTATTGCTTAAATGTGAATACATGCACATTTTTAGCTGAAACTTATGTTCTAGATCAAGGACCTATTACCACAGATATATGGGGTATTCATTCATAAATTACGCTATGTTGCATTGACATATGCGGGACGACGGCGGAGGGGATAGATAGAGACAAATATGATTTACGACAAAACATAATATTATGGGGTAATACTGATAGCAAACATGACAATTATTGAATAACTTACCTTAAATTGGGTAGGAGGTATAGTCAGAAAGGCCACGAAACAGTGAGTATTGACCGCTTGTAGAAGCAAATAGAAATTAGTCCTGTGCTCTGGAAACTCTTCGAAGTTTTGGCTTATCATCTGCAGTGTACACTCAAAGACAGCATCAAAAATTTTAGGAACCTGAATAAACAGATTTAATGATTAAAAAATAATTTTCAATTGCATAAAGTTTTTGGCCTGATAAAAGTTTACCTCCATTTTATTTGAACACGAATATATAAAACTAGCTGTTGATGTGGCGAATTTGCACGCGTCTTTAAAAAAAAAAAATTCCCATACAAACAGTAAAAATATGTCCCCTACCTCCATAATAATATTTCCTTCCAATTTATTAACAATGGTAGCAATGGCACTGAGAACTTCGGGTTCCCTGGCACCAGGCACGGTGGTTCGCTGATAGTCCAATAGGACGGCACTCAAGAAAGGTGGAACAAAGTTTTCCAAAACAACTTTGTTATCATTTGATCTAGAAATCCAATCGGATATTAGTTTGAGAATTTCTTTTTTGACTACTCGCATCATTTTGATCAGGGGTTGTTTGGTGACTTCTTCACCATTGATAGAGATAGCTGCAGTTATATTTTCAGACATAACCTGAAAATAAAAATAAAATATTAGAATAAACGGTTCTGGTCGAGATATGAATAGTCAATGGAATAGATAGATATACAGGGTGCCACGAAAGATTTGTTACAAACTACCAGGGATGGTGGATCTCGTAAGAATTAAGTTTTTTTTTGATAAACACATGGTCCGGAAGTGCTCCGCTTTCCAGATAAGAACTGTTAGACTTTGTAATGTTGTTATCAATATATGGTTTTTAGGTCAACTCAGTAGTCATATTATAAAGTTGATTTAACGAACCGAATAGTGTTTCATTGCAAGACACAACATAATGGCGACAAGATGTGGCGTTCAAAGTCGTTTTTAGCGTAATATTATGAAAAAGTTTGAAAAGTCCTTTTTTGTTGTTGAACTCTCAACTGCATAAAACCAAAAGTCTAGTGAAAAAAAAAACGCGTAAAAATGGCATTGATTGGTGGTATTGAGTCATTTAGGCCTAGAGACTGTGACGTTACATTCATATATGGAGAGAATGAATAAGTTATTTGAATGTAACTGCATAGAAGAAGGAAACAAAGTACCTCTACATGTTTTTAGCCCTTGTTGGAGGAGAGGCCTATGAAGTGTTAAAAGATTTGCTGTCCCCAGAACTGCCAAAGGATAAGTCATATGATCAATTAAAGGAAGTTTTGGAAAAACACTATAGTCCAAATCGATGGGTCATTGCAGAGAGGTACCAGTTTTATACTGCAAGGCGAGAAAATCACGAAGATAATTCAATGTTCCCATTGAAATTGAGAAATTTAGTAGATAACTAAGATAAGTTTTGTATGTAGCATAAAGTCGGAATCAATTAGGCGAAAACTAATAACTGAAGAGTAGTTAGATTTCGAAAAAGCAGTAAAAATAGCTTCTAGTATGGAATTGGCAGAGAGTCAAGCAAAAACATTAGGTCCTGAATTCGTAAATAAGTTTCACATTGGAAAAAACAAATTTCAGTCCAGCTACTCTGGTGAAAAGTTCCAGTCGAGCATACCATCGTTGTTGCGAAAAAAAAACACAAAAACGTTATTCCAAAACGCATGTATTTTTACGAATTAATTAAAAAAATGACTTTTTTTCTAACACCCTATATCTGGAAAGCGAAGCATTTCCGGACATATGTTTGTAAAAAAAACTTAATTCTTACGAGATCTACCATCCCTAAAAGTTTGTAACAAACCTTTCGTGACACCCTGTTTCGTCGTGAAATCAATAAAATCAAATCAAATACGCATATAACATTTGAATATCGAAAAAATAAAATATTTTTGAACAATAAATATCAATGAAAGTATCAAAAAACATTTGCTTATTGAAACTGAGAGTAACATTGATAGCATATGACGAAATGGCAATAAAACTATAGCTAAAAATAGCAGTTACATACATAAAAATACGCTTCAACAATTTTAACATTTTCTCATTTGACAAATAAAATTATGTTAATTTTTTTTATAAAAACTAATAGGACAAGTATTGAAAAAATAAATGTCACATTTCTGTGAAACGTCATTTGCGAATTTTGTTCAGAGTTGAGTTTATCTCAGTTTTTTCGATGGAAATCCATTTTAAATAGTTGCTTATTTTTAGAGTTTCTTGCTGGAACATGCAGGGCAACAACTTCAAGAAGCTCCGGAGCATCGATGAAGTTAAGTAGCTTATAAAGAATGCAAATATCTGTGTAATTTCTCCTAAGTTCCAGAAATTTTACACTTAATAGAGATGTAACTTCTGGCAGTTGATTTCATCACAAGGATTCCAAGTTTAAGACCGATTTGTTTTAGAAAATTTTGTCTGCACTCTCTCTAAGCTGTCTTTTATTTGCTTTATAATAGTGTGGCCAAATTGGGCTAGCATATTCCAGCATGAATCTAACAAGGGCACAAAACAAATTTTTTAGGATAAAAAAAATTATTAATTTCACTCAGAGCCCTAAAAACAAAACCCAATATTCTCATGGCCCTGCTGATAGTCCTCTCGATGTGAAAACTATTCTAGCCAGACCCCAAAATCTTTAACTGAATAGTTGCACTGTTGCTATCTTCAATTGAACATAATTGGAGTTTCAGGTTTAGAAAATGTGATGATTTTACATTTATCTATGTTCAAGCCTTAACAATTGTTTTTCCACCAATTAAAAAACCATCGAGCTGATTTTGCAATGATCATTGTAGTCTAGGAGGCAGTGATGATTTTCGGTACTTAATTTCCCAGTCAGACAACATGGATAGAATTGTAGGGTTAGTAATTCTAAGCAAAATACATATATTTTTAGGGGGGGGTTTCCGATGGGTTGAGGCGCAAAATGCGTTAAAGCCTACGAATGCACGGCCCTTTTTTTTCTCAGTGATAAAAATAGGTCTACTAATGAGTATACTGAAGTTACGTAAAAAAATAGTCCGGCTAATCTGTGAGTATGGATAATATGTCTGGCAAATGAAAAATTGAAGATCCGAAAATTTTCAGCCAGACTCACTTTCACTATCTGAGATAAGCCAAATTGCTATTTTCATATACTTTATGATCTATATTGTAGTAAATGTGAAATATTTATGTCTGGAAAAATAAGCGTACTTGTATTTTTCATTGATCTTGTGAACCCATTCGAAAATTTTAGCCACAGTCAAAAAGTCTTGCTTTACATCACCAAGAGAACAAACTATTCAATAGACTCCAACTGGGAAAATAAGTGCTAAAAAATTTCACTGCCTCCTGGACTATTGGGATTGATTACAATCTTAAAAATTTTAAAATATGTAATCAGCAAATCCCAAAAACTCACAATGACGGTTTTTATATCATTTATAAAGGCATTAAAAAGGAAAATTGAGAGATGTCCGCCCTGTGGTACCCCATATGTAACTAAAATTTCAGATGAGATGTAATTGTTTGCCTTCTTTCCTTCAAATTGCTCTCAAACTAAGAGAAAAAAGACTCATGCCTAATGCATGTAGTTTTGCCAGAAGGATGTTCTGATCCACTCTGTCAAATGCCTTCAAGAAATCAGTATACAGTATACAAGGTGTTAATGAATAGTGGGATCAAACTTCTAGGATAAATAGTGCTCATAAAAATAAGAAAAAAGTTTTCGGGATAACAGGTGTCAAAGTTTGAAAAAAAAATAATCCTTTTTCCATTTTTTTTTTTCAAATTTGGCAGGTTTGTTTGTGATAACAAAAAGGTATCTTTTGACTGTAATATGACTTGTTAATTCTGAAAAAAATATATCAAAGTTATAAAAAATAGGTAGTGATGTGCCATTTTTTTCTACTTTTACCAACGTAGTTGCCCTCTAGGGCGCCACTGGAGTAATTACGATAAATCTAATTGAGTCAAAAGATACCTTATGTTATTACAAATAAATCTGCCAAGTTTAAAGAAATTCGGGAAAAGGATTTTGAAAAACCGATTTTTTCAAGCTTTGATACCCTGTATCTCAAAAACTAAGCATTTGTGGACCTGTGTTTCTATTAACTTTTTTAATGAGTACTATTTATCCTAGAAGTTTGATCCCACTATTCATTAACACCCTGTAGAGTGAATCAACCTGATAACTACCCTCAAAGGCACTCAACAGAGTTTCTTCATACACCAGCAAATTAGACACAGTTGATCTCCCTCTTGTGAATCCATGTTGTTTAGTAGGTAATGATTATGTTTTTGAAGAGGGGGCCCAGGGACGTAGCAGCAGGGCGTGCAAGTGGTGCCGCGCACAAGAGCCCGGGCCCCGGCTGGTCTTGCCGTTTTTGGACACAACATACAAGAAAATTTAAAAAATATCATATTACGCCCGCCCAAGCAATCATTCTTCGATTTGACGATTTTTAACTGAAATAGAAAACTGTAATATCTCTACAGATTTCTTTTCAGTCAGCCCTTCGAGTCCCAGTACTCGTGTCAACTGTCAATTGTCAATCTCAATCGTGAAAGTCCATGAGACACATGAGTGAAGTGGAGTTTTGTCGATGAGAACATGAAAACAGTAAATCCTCCTCCATTTTCGGTTTAATCGCTAAACGTCGTCATAGCAATCAGGGCAAATTACAAATTATACCTGGCGCACCTACCACAATAATGCCAATGCGTGATCAGTTTTTAATGTTTCACTTCACATTTTTGTCAACGGAATTCAATCAATTTTTGGGAAACTATTATTTCAAAAAAATATTGTTTGTATCACCAGTGTATAAAAAGGCTCTAGTAAGATAATCCCCGTGCTGAAAATTCTCCCCGAGCTATCGTCCCCAGTTGAACGTCTCCACCTACAGAGGAGGACGAGAACTAATGACAGGTCAATTGTTGACATAATGGCAAATCTATTTTTGAAATTTCATCAAGAAATACATCCATAATGTAATTTTAGCTGACCTGACTAACAATAGAGGGTGTGCAACAAATTGTACCCTCGGTGGTTGTAGCGTAGCCTAGAAATGATCTAGACTAATTATAAAGACTCTTATGTTTTCAGGGAGGTTTTATAAAAGGATTTTATGATGTCATTTTATTTATAAATACCTATATTTTTCAAATAAATCGGAATTAATGTGATCGCAAGACCTGGGGAGAATTTGACGCACAAGAACTATCTTACTAGAGCCTTTTTATACAATGGTATCACGTACCACGTACATAGCAGGTTTTCAAGGACTCATTTGCTATAACAGCAAATATTCGTCCTAAAAATAGTATGTTACGTGAGGAGTCCGGAAAATACTGGACGAGTCGACAAGTCTGCGAGTCCGAAAAAACACTTTCTGGGCGTATTACGTAGACTATTTTTTCGGCCGGAAAATACATACTTCCCAGACTAGGTCGGAAAGTAATCACTTCCTGGCCTAACTAATCACTTCCTGGCGTAGGCTGAAAAAGACATACTTTCTTAATCTTGAGTAAAACGCGTCTGGAAAGTATGTGCAGGGTGATCTATTATAAAGGTCACCCCCTCCTAACTGACAGAAGTGTCAAATACAAGTTTTGAGAAATTGTCA